CCCCCAGATGTGGGGTGTCGGAAGCCCCCTCCTTTGCAGGGCTGAGGAAACGCCGGCGCTGGGGGCCTCGTGCTCCGGTAGCCCCGTCGCCCACGGGCCCTCCAGCTACAGTGCGTCACGCCGCTGTGAGCCTGGGCTGTACCTCCAGTGCTCTGGGGGCCCCGCGTGGGTAACCACACACCGCGCCCTTGGGGAGCCGCATGCTGCTCCCGCCGCCCTGCTTGGCACTTGGTTTAGCTGCAGCATTCCGGGCCCTCCCTGCGCTGCGAGGACCGCGCCGAGGCGTGGCAGCAACTCACGGCAAAGCTCTGCTGCATTTCAGCCTGGAGGAGAGGACCTGTGGGTGTCCCCTGCACATGGACTGAAGACCCGGGCGCGAGCCCGCAGCAGTGACTCTCGATGCCCAGTCTCTGTGCCTTCCGGGAATCTGGACTCCTGCTTCTCCAGGTTCCAGACTTTTCCATGGCTACAGTCTCATTAGCAAAGACTTGGGCTGCCTGTCTCTCTGTTGGCCCAGCTGGCGGGAACCCCCATGGGGGCCTGCCAAAGCCCCCAGTGGGCCCCTGAGGTGCCACCCCAGGGCGGGGTGGTGGGTGTGTGGGAGTTAGAGGTGCTTGCCCTCTTCTGCTGTTGCAGTGTTTGCCCAGCGCTGTTCCCAGTGCTGAAGCCACTGGCAGCGCACAGACTGTGCCAAGAGCAGGGAGGAGCGCGGGGGGCCTGCCCCTTTAAATCTGCGTTCTCCCCTTGGTTTCCCATCCTCCTTCCTCCCTCAGCAGCTGGCGGGCTGGCCAGAGCTGCAGTGACGCGCCGGTGAAATATTGATGAGGCGGTTCTCTGCGTCCGCCTCCCCTCCCTGCTGAACGAGGCCTCATGGGAAGCACTTTGCCTACCATCCGGTGGCCCAGGCCGAGGGCAGGGGCCTCACGGCAGGAAGAGGGCCTGGACCCAGACGGGGCATGGGAAGCCCGGGCTAGGGAGAACCGCCTATACCTGCCGCAGAGGGGCCCAGGCCCAGGGCAAGGCAGGTTCGCTGCTCAGGTGGTGGCTGTTCCTGGGCCGCCCCGCCTGCCCCGTGCCGTACACCAGCACCCCGGTCCCACCTGCAGTGTGCAGGTGACTGACCCCAGCGCACGCCCAGGGGGCTGCGACGGGGCTGCTCGCTCGCTCTCTCACTCATGGGGCGCGCTGGCTGAGTGCTGGTCCTGCAGGAGGGCAGAAGGCAGGCCCTTTCTCTCAGCCTGCTGCACCCGAAGGAGGGCAGTGCCTGGTACTTGGCACTCCCTCTGGCTTCAGGCCTGGCATCCTGGGCCTGACAGAAGCCCCGGGGTGCAGAGCTTGGCCCTTTCCCGCCCATGTGGCCCCTGGACTCTCACGGGGATGCAGCTGGGGGTGCTCTGCTCTCAGGCCGGAGGGCTCCTGGTTTCTCAGGTGCCAGCCAGGACCCACGCATGCCAGCGCTGGAGCCCGCCGTGGTGTTTGTGCACTGAATTCTAGCGCACAGCAGCTCTGCCTGGGCGCAGTGAGGGGATTTGCCCTCTACCGAGGGGAGGCTGGCGGCCCCACCGGGAGCTGGCAGAATGGAGAGAGGGCTAGGCCTGCTGGGAGGGAGAAGGCTCCCTGCTGGACCGAGGCACCCTCAGGAACAGGGAAGGCAGAGCTGGAGGTTCTGGGAAAAGGCAGGAAACTGGGGCCTGGGGTCACTGCACTTCCCCGCGCCTCCATTTACCTGTCTGGACAGAAGACGTCTCCTTGTCCCCACACGGTTGGTGAGCGTGCATCTGGGGTGAGACTCAGGCCGGGGAGCCTGCAACCAGAGGTGCCCTACGTCATCAGGAAGTTCCTTCCTTCCTGGAGGGTCCTGGACCTGGAGACGGCGCCGGAAGGGAGCCGAGGGGGCAGCCAGGCAGATTAAGTCAGAGGTACTCAGGAGGCCGTTTAGCGGAGGTCAGGCGAAGGAGGCTCCTGGCGTTCTAGTCAGGTGGGCTTAAGTCATTGGGCGGGTGCTCAAGGACCACTTCAGGGAAGGTTCTAGAAAGCATTCAGGCAACAGGCTTGAAGCTGGGTCACCCCGGCAGCCCTGTGGCGGCAGGTTTCTGAGAGTCGCAAAGCAGGTCCATGCTCTGTGAGATGTAGCCAATGCAACTGCGCCAATGAAGTTCTGAGATGAAAGGCTTGAGGAATGGCACGTGCCTGCCCTCTTGGTGCTGACAGACCGTTCTAGACAGGCAGCCAAGGTGGGAACGCTTCGGGCAGGCCTGCAGAAGCAAGAGGCCGCTGGCCTCATGTGGACCGAAGAGGCCGTTGCACCGCTGTCGCTTGAGATAACCCTTGATTTCACGGTGGCTCCTGTCTGTCCAGTCGACGGAGTGAAGGAGACAAGGGGGGCCGACTTCAGCACAGTGTCAGTTTCGGGGCTCGTCGGAGCTGGGGCACAGATCCCCTCCACCCTGACAGTGGTCTGCTGCCCATGCCCAGAGCCCACCCTTGCTCGCGGGGACGTGACCGCCTCCCCAGGCTCCCAGCCCTTCCTTGGCCGGCCCTCCCAGCAACTCCAGTGTCGCACCTGCACCAGACCCAGCGGCAGCAAAGGCCCCGCCCAGATGCTGGCATGTCACGGACCGCGAGGCCCGCAGCTGGGAGGCAGCTTGGCAGCAGACTTTCTGGAGAACACTCCGAATCCATGGGATGCCACCACTGGAGAGGGCACGATGCGTGGGCTCACGGGTACACAGTATAGGGTGAGGCCCTGCGCTTGCTGGGAACGGGCGCTGGGGCAGGCCCAGCCCGGATCGTAGAAACACCTTTCTGGCAGCCGGTACAGCTTGGCCACAGCAACCGTGCCTGAAGCAGAGGAGGAGGTAGCGAAGAGCAGGGTGGGACGAGCCATCTGGGTGGAGGGGACCTCTGAGGTAGTAGCTGGGACGTGGGACGGGCGGGGAGTGGGGGGGCAGCCGGGGCAGGGCCCGGGGCCCACTGAGCGCCGTCTGAGGCTGAGGACCCGCTCCCTCCAGCACGCTGCGGCGGGAGCATGCAGGAGTTGGGCTTCATCCGTCACGCCCTGAAGCCTGCCAGTGCCGCTGGCTCCTTTCACCGAAACCGGGTCTGGAGAGACCCAGTCTTTCACGTGGGAGGTCCCCAGGCATCACGACGGGACCTGCAGGCACCCACTGACCTCTGGGGCCTGCGGCAGATACGGAGGGTCTGGGGGGCCGGCGATGGCTGCAGACTGCAGACGCCGCGCAGGGGTGGAGGGGCAAGAAGTGCAGCGTGGGGCAGCCTCAAAGCTGCCTTCGGCTTCCAGTGCTTCCTGAGCCGCCGTGGCCCATGGCTCCGCCTGGTCACCCGGCCAGCGCGTTAGCGAGCTGTGGGGAGGGGTTTGGGGGTGCATCACAGGGCACTCGCAGGAGCCCTCCTGATCCCCTTCCCCAACCTTGGGGCTCGCCCCCGGTCCTTGCCTGCTTGTGCCCCTTCCTGAGGCCTCTCCGACCACCTCCCCAGCTGCACCCCAGGCCTCCCAGGTGGTTTGGCGCACACCCACCACCGGCACCTGTCAGGTAGATGCTCTGCCAGACGGCGAGTGGAAGCCAGCCGGCTGCTTGGCTCCCGCGCGTCTGGCAGTGAAGGCCGCTCCATGTGGAGCGTGCCTAGGGACTGGGCAGTGAGATTCCCACACTGGGCACTGCACCCCTGAGGAAGGCCGCTTTCCCGAGGGCCTCGCCGAAGCCACTGTTCTCAGCACGGATGCTCTTCTGCGGACACTTGGCCGGTGTCCTGGGCCTCCCCGAGCTGGGCCCGGGGGCCGGGCCCCGTGGTGCCGCGACTGCGGCCCCGCCCCAGGCTGTGCTCTCCAGAGGGCAGGCGGTCTCTTGGCCCTGGACTGTACATATGCACTGATGGCTCCAGACCAGAAGCCAGGGCAGTGGCCAAGTTGGGCTTCCCAGAGAAGTCTCCCCAGAGGCGAGGGCCTCGCACCTGAGTAGGTCCTGTGGTCAGGCCTCTGCTGGTGTGAGGGTCAGTGATACGTGCACTGCCATGGGCCCGGAGTGAACACTTAGCCCGCTGCCTGTTCTATGTGGGCTGGCGAGGGTGCAGGGAACAGCAGCGCAAGGTTGGGGCCCTGCCCGAGCAGGCGGCCCAGGAGACCCCCAGGAGCTTCGTGCCAGGCCCTGTACATGCCGTGGGAGGTGCCTCGGCAGGTGGGAGTGGGGGCCGGCGGGTCACCCGCACGAAGAGGTGAGGGAACCCAGCCCAGCTGCTCTGCCACCCGGGGCCAGAGCCCACCGCCAGCGTGCTTCCGCTGTCCCCCAGCGCCCTCTGTCCCCTCCACCCTGCCCACCCCCGGCCTGTGCCTCCCTCTTTCCCGCCTTGCCGGCCCTCTCCCTCCTGTCTCGGCCTGTGTCCTCCCCTCCCCAGGCTTTCTCCCGCTCGCCTGGCCATGGGGTACCCTCGGGGCAGCAGAGACACTGTGGCCTGCGTGTTGACCTGGTGTGCAGCTGACCCTGCCCGTGGCTTGGCCTGCGTCCTGGACCCCCACGCCGCTCCAGGCCTGAAGCCCCTGGGGCCGGCCGCCCAAAGACAGCTGATGGTCGGCCCGAGAGGCGGGGGTGATGGAGGGCCAGGAAGCGAGCACAGCGCCTGCGGGGCCCGCAGCCAGCAGGCCAGACCGGGGCCCGCAGGCCCGAAGCGGGCAGGCGCGTGGGCACTGGGCCAGAGCACCTGCCCGCCGCGGCGCTCACTTCGGCGCGGGCTCCCGAGACTCGGGGCCACTCGGAGCTGCCCTCGCGGCTGTGCCGCCCGCGCTGACACCCTGCCCGCCCTGGGGAGCCTAGAGCTGGGGCGCTCTCAGTGGGCGGGGCTGGGCATGGCCTACAGGTGGCCCCAGCTGGGCGGTGACTGTGGTCAGTGAGTCAAGGCCAGCCTGAGGACAGGTTGACAGAGAAGCTGCTAGAAGAGCAGACTTCAATCTCGCTTCCACTGTGCCCCTGGCTTCTTCTCCCCAGGTGTCTGCACTGGGCGGTTGCCCCTCTCCCACCACAGCGGCACCCGGGCTGGGCGCTGGGCCTCGGGTGGCCACCTGCCCCGCACTGAGGCTGAACCAGCGACAGAGCCCAGGAGGCAGGATGGGCGACATGGCCAACAGCTCCATCGAGTTTCGCCCCAAGGCTCAGCCGCAGCGGGAGGCCCCCCTTGCCGGCGGCTTTGGGTGCACGCTGGCCGAGCTGCGCTCCCTCATGGAGCTCCGAGGGGCTGAGGCGCTGCAGAAAGTCCAGGAAGCCTATGGGGACGTCGGCGGGCTCTGCAGGAGGCTGAGAACCTCGCCCACGGAGGGTAAGTCAGCAGCGGCCCGGCCGCCTGGCCTCGCCCCCCCGGGGACCCTCCCGCGGTCTGCAGTCTCTGCAGAAGGCGGCCGCGCCCCGCCGCCGCTCTGGCCACCGCGCAGCTCTCCCTGAGGGACTCTCAACCCTGAGCACGGTCCTCCGAGGTGGCCGCTCACCCTGGAGCAAGCGCTGCGAGCAGTGAGGAGCGTGGCCCTTGGGCAGTCTGCACACGCCACAGCTGTCATGGCGCCGTGTCCCACCTCTTCTTTGGACTAAGCACAAATGGAGGAGCAGAGAGAGGGCCCTCTGAAGCTTTTCTCAGAAGAGGAGGGAGGGATGGTCCCTGCCCTGTGTTGGGGCTCCCTCTGTCCAGGAAGAGGAAGAAGGGGCACACTGGGCAGGGAGGCCCAGCAGACAGCGGTCTCTCCCTGGGAGGGGGTGGCCTGGGATTGACGGGGCACAGGCGACCCACATCGGGACGGAGGCCGAGCCTGAGGCACGCTGCGCTGGGCTCAGGAGGAGTGCTGCGGGGGTGGGGTGCTCCGGAGGCCTCCGCGGGGCCTACTGCATGCCAGCCTGGGACACAGTCCCCGGTGGGGCTCCCCAGGCGCTCACCCCGGGCCCAGGAGCGGGCCCGTTGCGTGTGCGGCCAGCCCCTCCCTCACAGGACTGCTGGGCCTGACCCATTCTGTGGCCAGGCCGCTCCCAGCCTGTGCTGTTTCTCTCGTGGCCCCTGGCTCCGCCTGGGCTCCTGCGGCACCCCTGTTCCCCAGAGCCGGGGCCCTGGCTGAGCCCCATCTGCCTGCCAGGGGCATGTGGGCTGCGTGAGGGAGACAGCCCACCCAGGAGGCCACTGGCCTGAGGGCGGGGAGACCGTGCCCACCAGCCAGGTGTGGAACCCTGGCAAAGTGGGGGACCTCCCCAGCCATCCCGGCACTCCAGAGCGAGCACCCGCCTGGCCGGCATGTCAGCCGGGAAGATGGCTGGGCAAAGGCTGCCTGCACCCCGCTCACCCACCCACGGGCTCGGGGCGGCTGGGGTGCAGGGCCGTCTAGCTGCAAGCACGCTGGCTCCTGGATGAAAGGAAGCAGATGGGCTTGAGCCGGTAGCGCTTTCCTGCCCGTCAGGACTTGTTAAATCTTTAAAATGTCAAGGCCCCTGGGAAGCTGCCCGATTCCGCCTCTGGGCTCGCCTGCTGCCTGTGGAGGGACCCAGGACAAAGGCAGGTGTCCAGGGGGTAGCCCGCCCGCCTCCGTACGGTTGGCCAGGCCTGGTCTGCACCCCAAAGAATGAGGACAGCCCGGCTACCCCTCCCCTGGCCGACCTGGGAGCCTTGAACTGCGGCCACCAGCAGAGGACGGTGGCCCCCACGTGTGCACTCGGACCCCAAGTTCTCGCCCAGGCCCTTATCCCGCTCAGACACAAGCCTGAGCTTGCAGGAGGGACAGCTGAGGTGTGGCCCAGGCTCCATGCAACCCCTGGGCAAGGCGGGCAGGCTGTGGGGTGCCAGCAGGGCGGCGCTGTGGAGCCGGCGTGGAGGCCGGGGGTGTTGGGGAGGGCTCATCTTGGCCGCCAGCACAGTTACAGGCTCGACCCCTGCAGAGATCCAAGAGGCACCCGTGAGCCCAGGGCCTGCATCTGAGGCCGAGCACCGCGGCAGGCTGCCTGCGGCTCCAGGCCCATGCCTGCCCGCCTGCCTCCTTGCAGTCACGGGAGGGGGTGGATTAACCGGGGCTGCACCACGGGGTCCTAATCCAATTCTGGTGGCATCTGGCCTCTGCGTTGGGCAGGGCGCCCATCGGTGTCCATGCCAACCATCCAGCCCCTGCCCCCCACAGCCTGCACATAGCCCCTCGGGGCCTGTGGGCCAGCACCGGGGCTGCAGCTGCCCTCTGCCCCGGGAGTGGCGGCCAGCAGCTGCCGGAGCCCAGCCTGCAGGTCTCCCAGGGCGGGAGGAGCTCCTGCAGCATTAAGGGAGAGGCCGGGGAGGGGGGTGGGAGGGAGAGGCAGGCAGAGGCCTCCCGAGCAAGGGTACCCGGGGTCAGCTTCCCCTGGGGAGAATGGGGCCAGGCGGCTGCCGCCTGTGGGCTGCAGTCAGGTGCCGGCGTCTGTCTGGGCTGAGCGGTGGCCTCCATCCTCCCTGGAGGCTCCAGGTCAATGCTTTTCCCACGGGTGGGCTGGTGGGGACCCTGAGTGCCAGCCCCCCCCCCATGCTCACCCCTTGGCTGGGCCCCTGCCCGTAGGAGGGAGGCCCCGAGCTTCTCCCAGACGCCCAACTGGGGCATGCAGCCTCTAGAAACTTGAGCTGAGGTAGGGCCACGTTTGTTGAGGCCAGCAGGAGAAGGACAGGGACAGCTGCAGCTCTTCTGGGGAGAGGACAGCGTGTGGTCACCGCCTGGCGCGAGACTAGGCCACGGCTGTCCTGTGCACACCCCCATTCAGCCCTTCCACCTCAGCTCTTTCCCCACCCAGCGCAGCCCACTGCCCACCCAATTCCTTCTCCACGCTTGTCACCTTCTTGTCGCCCAGCCGTCGGGGGAGAGGGGACTAAATCTTGTGTCTTTCCTCAAACATGCTGTGAAGACCCCACGGTGGTCTGCAGGGCTGGGAGCTGCAAGGCGCGGTCTGTCCACTAGGTGTCAGGGTGAAGCCGGGCACCCGAGGGGCAGGAAGAGAGAAAGGGGAACAGTGGTACCACAGGGGCTGTGGTGGGATGAGCCTGGACGGCCGATGGGCCTGCAGGGAAGCAGTACTGAGGGCTCAAGGCTGGGCCAGCTGTGGCCTTGGGAAATGTGGCCAAGTGGGTGTCTGGGCTAGAAAGGCCGGTGGCCTGAAGGTGCCAGTGCCACATGGAAGCTTCTGGCACCTATAGAGCCGGGCAGACCCCATTTGTGTATTGATTCCGTGGCCACTCAGGCCTGGCCACATCCCTCCCAGCTCTCCAACAGCGGTTTGTTCAGGGTGTGGGGGCTTCCCAGGTCCCTGGGGCCCCTGTAGGCAGGCTCCTCCCAGCTGGCCTTGGCCTGGCACAGTGGCTGTGGGTATCATTCAAGTTGCCATGTACATGCCCAGAACTGCACAGCCCCAGCCCCCCTGCACCCTGCCCCCCCGCAGGGCAGGGGGGATTTCAGGAAGGGGACAGCTGTCTGCAGCAGGTGGCCCTGAGGGCACGGGCTGGGGTCCTCCGGGGACCTCCTGGGTGCCACAGGTGCCAGGCCCTTGCTGGACAGCGAGGGCAACACTGAGCCGGTCCCTGGGCTGCTGGGGTCCATCTGCCCTCCCCCAGGTCCTGACACCGCATGGGCCTCTGGGCCGCTGGATGTCTGCGAGGTGCCGGTCACCCTCACCAGGGGTCAGAGGGTGGGCAGCGCGGGGACGCACAGGCCCAGGGCCCTTACCCGCCCCAGGTTCAGCTTCCTCGGCTGGAACCTGGTGGGGACGGGATGAGCACCTCTGGCCCTTTACAACCTCGCGGGGTTCAGCTACCTGGGCCCACCTGGCAGTGGGACACTCACTCACCCGCACTCCATCTGCGGGGTGGCACCCGGCCCTGCCCACACTGCACATCACGCCAGCACACCCGCCTTTCACATTCCCAGGGGGTGGGAGCCGCGAGGGCATGGCCGCACGGTATCGTGGGAGTCAGGCCGCGGGCCGCCGGGCAGCGCGCTGGCCACCTCTGTGCCCTCCGTCTGGCGCCACGCAGGTCTGGCAGACAACGCGGACGACTTGGAGAAGCGCAGGCAGGTCTACGGGCAGAACTTCATCCCCCCCAAGCAGCCCAAGACGTTCCTGCAGCTGGTGTGGGAGGCGCTGCAGGACGTGACCCTCATCATCCTGGAGGTGGCCGCCATCGTGTCCTTGGGGCTTTCTTTCTACGCGCCGCCCGGGGACGAGAGTGAAGGTGCGTGCGACGGGCCTGGCGGGCGGGGCAGTGGCGCCTGAGCGGCGGCCGTGACGTGGCTTCCCTGCCCTCTGCCCTTCCGGCTGTCCTCGGCGCAGCGTGCGGGAATGTGTCGGCCGGCGCCGAAGATGAGGGGGAGGCGGAGGCTGGCTGGATCGAGGGCGCCGCCATCCTCCTCTCCGTCATCTGCGTGGTCCTGGTCACGGCCTTCAACGACTGGAGCAAGGAGAAGCAGTTCCGGGGCCTGCAGAGCCGCATCGAGCAGGAGCAGAAGTTCACGGTCACCCGCAGCGGGCAGCTCCTGCAGGTCCCTGTGGCCGCGCTGGTCGTGGGGGACATCGCACAGGTCAAGTATGGTGCGTGTGTGGTGGCCGTCTCCGGCAGGACAGTGGGCCAGCAGCGTGGCGGGGGGCGGGGCTTGCCTGGGCGCCTGCGCAGGCCTTTCTCAACTGGCCACGGACCTGCGGGCCAGCGGCTGCAGGCAGCACTCGAGTCGCCGTGCAGATGCTCACCCACCGCTGCGGCTGCCAGCTCGGAGCACAGGGCCCGCGGCAGGCAGCGATGGGCCGATGGGGGAGGGGCGGAGGGAGAGGCTCGAGGGTGTCCTGCCTGGGCAGGGGCGGGCGCGGCTGCCCGAGCCCGCCTGCACTCTGGCTGCCCCACCGCCCCAGGGGACCTGCTGCCGGCCGACGGGGTGCTGATCCAGGGCAACGACCTGAAGATCGACGAGAGCTCCCTGACCGGAGAGTCCGACCACGTGCGCAAGTCAGCGGACAAGGACCCCATGCTGCTGTCTGGTGAGGGCCCCGCACCCCGCCTCCCTGCCACTGGGGCAGCTGCTGGGAGTGGCGCTCGCCACAGGGAGCACTGGTCCTTCCCAGCTCCAAGGGCCCCCTCTCTCCACCGGGAGCCCTAGAAATGGGGCCGGCTCTGGGCCAGTGAGCATGTGCTCGTCCCCAACCCGCACGGTGCAGAAAAGCCGGTGGGGGCGGCGTGCCCTCCCAGGGGTTCTTCGTTAACCCACCTCGTCCCAGGGACAAAGGGCCCGTGAGAGGGCAGGTTGGGCAGGGAGTGCCTGATGGGCAACCTCCCCGCCTCGGTCCTTGGGTCGCTGTACCAGGCACTCATGTCATGGAGGGTTCCGGAAGGATGGTGGTGACGGCTGTTGGCGTGAACTCCCAGACAGGCATCATCTTCACCTTGCTCGGAGCCGGCGGAGAAGAGGAGGAGAAGAAGGAGAAGAAAGGTAACAGGTTGGGGGCGGTGCCGGGGGTGGGAGGCTGCCCTGCCCCCACTCCTCTCATGGTTCCTTCCGGGAGCCCTTCCCCTAGGCTCTCTGCCCCGAGCTGCCGGTCAGGAGACCCCGGTTGTGCTCCAGGAAACTGGCCCAGGCCTGCAGGCTTACTGCCGTGCGTGTCGCCGGTGCCAGGGACAGGCTCAGGGAGACAGGGGCAGGTCACCCTGACGTGGGGGCTGCTGCTGGGGCCTCATGCCCACCATGGGGCTGTTCGGCCCCCTGGGGAGGCCCTGAGGAAGTGTGAGCCCAGAAGCCAGAGACGGAGGACTCTGGGGCACGAGGGCCCAAGGGGTGCCCAGGAGAGCAAGCTGAGTGCCGTGGCCCTCATGCCAAGGGAGGCAGTGCCAGGGGCCTTCGGAGAGCCCTGCTCTACAGCCGCGCAGGCGCCCTGGCACCCGGCTGGCCTCTGCTGCCTTCTGCAGCCCCAAGCCTGAGGGCGCCCTTCCCACTCAGCACCTGCGCCTTGGCCCCGCTGCCAGTTTGGGGCGCCGCTCACGACTCGTCCTCTGAGCTGCGTTTGTGCTCAGACCTCTCCTGCAGCCACACCAGCGTTGTCTAGCAGCACGCTTCACCTCAGGCTCCAGCTGGGCCCAGCTGGCAGTGTGTGTGAGAACTCATGGCCTGCGCCCGGCCCGAGCTAACGCGGCACTATGCAGGGTAGCTGTCGCTGGCCTGGTGTCTGTCCGTCAAGGCCACTGGCGTGGGCAGCCTGGCCCCAGAACACAGGGACAGCTCAGTGAGGAAGTAAGTGTCCCACGTGCAGGGCCGCCGCCTGCTGCGAGCCGGTCTCCGGCCGCCTCCTGGCCTCCCTGTGCGGCTACGCCTCCTCCTGCCGCTAGGCGCCGGCTGCCCACAGGGAGCTTGCTGTGCCCACAGGTGCGCAAGTGGGGGCCCTCACCCCGGCGGCCCCCCAGCAATAGCCCTGTGTTCGGCCTGACTGGGTCTCGCCCGCCTGGTCACCCGTCACAAAACTTGCCGCCCCACGTTCCTGTCCCAGTCTCTGCTCTACTCCAGCACCCCCGCTTGAGCTCCTTAGAAGCAGGAGCCCTTCCGGCAGCCCCGGCCAGGGCCCCCTCCTCACCCTCACTGCCCCCCGCCCCCTCCTGGTGTTTGCCTTTGGCCTTGGCTCCGTGTCACGCTCCTTTGGGGGTGCCCTCCTTCCTCCTCTGTTCCAGTGGCCTCCCCTGGCCTCCCTCAGGACTATCCTCTGAGACTCCTGGACACTGAATTGCCGCCATGCTTCTGCCCCGGAGTCTCCATCCCCACTAAACTCCACCTGCACCTCCACAGAATTGCTGCGTAGGAAGGGCAGACCCAGGTGTCACCCGACGCCAGAGGGGCCTCTCCCCCTCCCTGGGGCCCCACGCACCCCCACTGCCTGGGAGCTACCGGGCACAGTGATCATGGACCCCTGGCAACCTGAGCTGCGGGTGGGCTGACAGGCCAGCCCACGGCTCCCCCTGCTGCGGCGGATGGGGCAGGGCGGCTGCGGCCCTGGGAGATGGCCCCAGCCGCTGGCCCGCCCACGAGCCCTGCGGCAGCAAAGCAGGAGGTCGAGGGTGTGCCTGCTGGACCCCGGGCCCGCCCGCCCACCTGCCGGGGTGTCCCGGACCCCCAGAGCCGCCCTCCTTCCTGGCTTTGGAAATAAGAGGGAAGCAGCACTGTTTGCCTTGACCCTGGGCAGGCCGTGCTTCCAGAAACATCTCACAGGTGGCCCAGGGTCTGTCCAGGGCTGGCTTTACAGCTGCACCGGAGGGCTGAGGGCCAGGCCAGCGGAGCGCCCGGCTGCCGGTCTTACCCAGGAGACGCAAGTGCTGCAGCAGCCTGGCTGCAGGGAGGTGGCGGGGTGCATTGCAGGAGCCTGGAGAGCGCGAGACAGAGAGGCCCTGGGGCGGCCACAGTGTCGGCCTGTGCCCCCGCCCACAGGCCTGAGTGAGGGTCAGGGCCCCGCAGGCATTCACAAGTCTTGGTCTTCTGTTGTAGGCAAGCAGCAGGACGGGGCGATGGACAGTAGCCAGACCAGAGGTAACGGGGTGCTCAGCACTCTGGGGGTAGGGGCAGAGGGGACGGGTTGCCACCAGGCCCAGCGCCCAGAGCCCAGGCGAGTGGGACGGCGACCCTTCAGGCCTAGCTGAGCTTCGGCCTTTCCCAGACCAGCTGCCCCCTTCTGGGCCTTTGAGCTGCCTGACGGCTCTTGAGGAGCAGAAGCCTGTGGCCCCTCAGCCTGGAGGCCTGGTGGGTGGCAACAGGAGAAGCAGCTGCTGGCAGCCTGAGCAGCAGTCACGCCAGGCCAAGCCCGCTGCGGCCCCCTGCAGACAGAAAGGGTGGGCAGCGCCAGTCTGAGCCCAGGGAGCCCACGGAGCTGGTCCACAGGAGGTCTCCACCCAGCAAGCTGCACCCAGGAGTGGGGGCGGTGGCGTCACACAAAGCGAGCTGGGAGGCCCCTGAGCTTGGGAGCGGGAAGACAGCGTGGGCTGGGGCAGGGCCAGCTGCATCGGTGAGCGTGCTGGGCTGTGGTGGGCAGGCGGGAGGAGGTGGTGGTTGGGGTGTGGAGGGGACTGGGTGCCACAGCTGGTGCAGCGCCAGCCGCCCTGCCTGTCTGCCCAAGACACCCTGTCTGGGCGTCACTTGTGCGAGCATCTGCCCTTGGCCCACGTGAGGCCCCAAGAGCCACGTGTGACCCGCCAGCACAGTGCTGGCCCTCAGAAGGCCAGAGTGACCCAGAGGAGGGAGGCCAGAGAGCAGAGAAAGCCCCCAAACTGTGTCCTCTCAGTGGCGTGGCAGATCTCTCCCCGGTAGTTGGCACTCCAGCTGGCACGCGGCCCTGACCTGGGCGTTGGGGGTCTTCTGTGTGCAGCTAAGAAGCAGGATGGGGCAGTTGCCATGGAAATGCAGCCCCTGAAGAGTGCGGAGGGCGGGGAGACGGAGGAGCGGGAGCGGAAGAAAGCCAGTGTGCCCAAGAAGGAGAAGTCCGTGCTACAGGGGAAGCTCACCAAGCTGGCGGTGCAGATCGGGAAGGCGGGTGAGGGCCGCGGCGCGGCGGTGCGGGGCAGGCCAGGCCGGGGCAAGGACGGTCCCCACGAGCAGGGGCCCAGCCCCCTGGCGGAAGATCTCACCTTGCTTTCCCTCTTATCTCTGCCTCGCCCCCGCCTCGCCCCTGTCTATCCCTGCCCTGCGCGGCCTCGCTGGTGGCTGGTGGCGTGGCAGGGCTGGTGATGTCCGCCATCACCGTCATCATCCTGGTCCTGTACTTTGTGATCGAGACCTTCGTCGTGGATGGCCGCGTGTGGCTGGCCGAGTGCACGCCCGTGTACGTGCAGTACTTTGTGAAGTTCTTCATCATCGGCGTCACGGTGCTGGTCGTGGCTGTCCCCGAGGGCCTGCCCCTGGCCGTCACCATCTCCTTAGCTTACTCAGTCAAGGTAACGATGGCGCCAAGGAGTGAGGAGGGAAGCGGTTGGGGTGCTTGGGAAAGGCAGGGCTTCTGAGGGCCCCACCAGTTCCCAGCACAGTCGGACGCCGGAAAGCGGACGGCCGCGGCGGGCGGACCTGAGGCTCGGCCTCTGCGGGGCAAGGGAGCGGCACAGTGGCCGACCAACTGGCCGGGGTGGGGCTTGGGCGATTGGGAGAGAGCCAGGGTGCCAGGAGGCGGGAGCTGGCAGTGGGGGCGGGGCAAAGAGGAGCGACTGAGGCAGGCGAGAGGCACTGACGGCTGCCAGCCAGCGGGGAGCGATGCCCCTCTGAGCCGTAGGCCTCCCTGCCCCCATGAGTCGGCCCCCGTCTCCCCACCCAGAAAATGATGAAGGACAACAACCTGGTCCGCCACCTGGACGCCTGCGAGACCATGGGCAACGCCACGGCCATCTGCTCGGACAAGACGGGCACGCTGACCACCAACCGCATGACCGTGGTCCAGTCGTACCTTGGGGACACACACTACAAAGAGATTCCAGCCCCCAGCGCCCTGACCCCCAAGATCCTCGACCTCCTGGTCCACGCCATCTCCATCAACAGTGCCTACACCACCAAGATTCTAGTGAGCCCGGCCTGGCGTGGGGTGGGGTGGCGGGGTGCACCCGGGCCGCCTCGGGGTGGACTCTGCGCTGCCTCGGCTCAGCCGTCCTAGCGCCGCCGCCGCGTGCGGCTTCTGCAAGCCCCCTGGCGGCTGCGGAGCCCACGGGCGCGGCGTGCAGGCAGGGGCGGGGGCCATGGTGCCTGTCGTCGCCCGCAGCCTCCGGACAAGGAAGGCGGGCTCCCGCGCCAGGTGGGCAACAAGACGGAGTGCGCGCTGCTGGGCTTCGTGCGGGACCTGCAGCGAGACTTCCAGCCGGTGCGGGAACAGGTGCCCGAGGAGCAGCTGTACAAGGTGTACACCTTCAACTCGGTGCGCAAGTCCATGAGCACGGTCATCCGCACGGATGGTGGCTTCCGCCTCTTCAGCAAGGGCGCCTCAGAGATCCTGCTGAAAAAGTGAGTGCTGCCGGCAGGCTGGGCGTGTGCGTGGCCGGGCTGCGCGCAGGGGCCGGGCTCCCTTCCCCGTCACATGGGCAGACGCCCGCGCCCCGGTCAGCAGAACTGCACTCATCTCTCTTGTGGGGTCTTCCCAGGAGCGGGTGCCCGGGTCCCCGGGGCAGTCCGTGCTGATGCTTTCAAGAAAATGTCAGATCATTTTCCGGGGTGCAGCCTGTGTCACCACCCCTCCCCATCGAGGAGGGCCCGGCTGCTTGTCCTCGGCAATGTGGAGCGTGAGGTGGGACTCGGGGCACCCTTGGGTGGCATCTTCTGGTGTGCGCCACCCCTCTTCAATCCTCCGCCGTCTCTCGCTGGCCTGCTTGTCCACTCATGCGCGTCCGCATGTCCCTTCGCTGTCCTCATCGGTATGTTGCACCCCCACCTGCTTTCTCTTGTCGCTGGGGCCTCACAGTCCAGTTGCCCGTGGTGAAGTCCACGGCCACGTCAGTAGACCCAAGGCTGTTCATCTGCCTCGTCGGGTGCTGAACTAGAGGGCGGAGGGACATAAGTGTCTCACTGAGACCCTCAGCAAAGGGCCAGTCTGCGCCCTGCCCCAGCCCCCAGGCCACGCTGGCCAGCTGTGTCGCAGCTCCTTGCACACCTGCGCCCGGGGACCCTCCTCGCAGGACACCCGGGAACCCGCACCCCAGTGCACCCCCACTCGCCCACCCTTTGGCTTTTGCACGTGCCTGCTCCCCCCCAAACCCTGCTGCCTCACCCACACGGCCAAGTGGCAGCTGGATGGGAGCCCCCCTTTCTGGGTGTCTCCTCTGGCAGGTACCAGTTTCTGCAGCTGGCCGTGCAAGCGGGGCCAGCGTCCCCAGCACCCCTGGCCTCGGTTACCATGTAGGAAGCAGCCAGCTAGAGTGGGGGCCCGTCGGCCACAGGTGAAGCCACCTGAGGTTGGGGTGCAGGCGGCTTCTGCAGCACTGCCCGACAGCAGCTCCTTGCCTTGATCACGGGACCCTTAGTCCCTGCTGCGCCGAGCCCTGCCTGGCCTCCCACCCAGTCCCTCCGAGAAGCTTCCAGCGCCAGCAGGTGTCACTCCAGCTCAGACTGTGGCTGCTGTCCTGTCAGTCACTTCCCTACCCTGCTCACAGCTGATTGACCTCGGTGTCTACTTTTCATTATTCCACAACCCCAACCCCAATGGGGCAAGAGCGATGCCCCAGCTCCCACTGAGCCCACGTGCCACTGCAGTAAGCACCGTGTCCGCCCTGGCTCCTCTGGCCACCGCCGGGGGCCTGAGCGCCCCAGACCGCCCAGCCGCACTCCAGCTCCCGGGGCTGCCGGCACAAGGCCCTCGCCCCAAGGCCTCAGAGCGTCAGTGCTTCTCCAGCGCAGGAGGCCAGAAGGGCGACATCAGCGGGTGGCCAGGACCAGCTCCCTCTGCCGCTAGGGGAGCCCTCCATGTCTCGCCTGCACCCCAGGAACCCCTGAGCAGGCGTCCCTGCCGGCACCGCCACGTGGCCACCCCCGTACCTGTGTGTCATCTTCTCTTTTCATAGGACACTGGTCGCAGGATCGGGGCCCCCCCCTCAGCCAGTGTGACCGCATCTAAAGTTTGCAGTGATCTTGTTTCTCTCCCGGGGCTCTGGGGAGAACTGCGTCATGGGGCCACTGGCCGGCCCCACACCAGCCCAGCACCCCCGTCACGCAGAAGCCCCTCTGCCGTCGTGGGGGCTCAGGCGATGCGGGTCCTCTTGTCCGCCCGCGCAGGTGCACCAGCATCTTGAACAGCAGTGGCGAGCCCCGCGGCTTCCGGCCTCGGGACAGGGACGACATGGTGAGGACGGTCATAGAGCCCATGGCCTGCGACGGGCTGCGCACCATCTGCGTCGCCTACCGCGACTTCTCGGCCGCACGGGAGCCCGACTGGGACAACGAGGGTGAGGTCGTGGGCGACCTCACCTGCATCGCGGTCGTGGGCATCGAGGACCCCGTGCGGCCTGAGGTACCGGCCCCTCGGGGCAGCGCCCAGCAGGGCCTGGACAGAAAGGCAGGAGAGCAGCCCACACCCTGCTCCCAGCTCCTGCCACCACCTGCCCCAGAACTGCAGTGTGGGGCGGAGGGCGCCCAGTCCTCAGGGCCGTGCCCCCGCGAGCAGGCCCTCGGGTGCACCTGCACCCCACTGCAAGAGAGGGACACCGACCAGGCGGCCCCCAGGAGGCCAGGTCCTTGCGAGCACTTGGCGGCGGCAGAGAGGCAGCTTGCAGGGGCTTCAGGACTGGAGCGCCTGGGCGCACGGAGCAGTGTCCCTGGCATCATTATCCAACGCCCACAACCCCAAAGCGCAAAACATGTCCCGCGGCTGGGAGCAAAGAGACGCATCACTGGGATGTGGGCTGTGGGCTCCTTTCCCGGGTCTCAGCCCTTCAGCAGGGATCACTGCGGGCTCTCAGCGTGAGGTGGGCCGTCCAGCTGGACCCCGCCCTCTTCTCGCACCCAGTCTCCTGGCTGAGCTCACAGCCCCAGGCACCCACCCCCACCCTTGGGTCCCCTAGGACGGGGCTGTCTCCCCACACTGACTCGCTCCAAGCTGGAGCTCTGCGCCTCGTCTGCACCCCCTCCCCCCAGGGCCGCCTGCACGGCCTGCGACCTCTTATCCACGCAGGGCTGATCTCCGCTGCTTCCTCCAGAGTCTCGGGGGCAGAAGCAGCGTGAGGTTCTGCTGTCCTCGCTGGGAGTGAGGAGGGCTGGTCGTGTAAACGCGACAACCCCAAAGCAGATTCTTTCCTGAGGAAAATAGCGTCAGAGAAGGGAGGGGTGGCAAGTGTGAGAAACGTGCGGAGCTTGGCCACAGCAGCTGACAGCCAGGAGCCTGCCCTCAGTGCGGGGCGAGGGGTCAAGCTAGCCCACGGCGGGCTAGTGCAGCTGGAAAATGGGGCGGCGGACCTGGGCCGCGCATGCAGCCACCTACCTGGTCAGCATCAGGGCTTCCAGTGGCGTCTCCCACTGTGGTCCTGGCATCTGGGCTGGGCCTGGGTGCACGTCAGTCCCTGTCCCTGCTCCCCAAGGCCCGGCGCCAGGAAAGGGTGCAGCTGGCAGCGTGCAGGGCCGTGCTTCCTCCCGCCTGGCGGGAGCTGGGGGCGCAGAGCCGGGCGGCAAACCGCCCGCGCGCAGTGTCTCTGCTCTCCCCCAGGTCCCCGAAGCGATCCGCAAGTGCCAGCGTGCTGGCATCACTGTCCGCATGGTGACCGGGGACAACATCAACACAGCCCGGGCCATCGCGGCCAAGTGCGGCATCATCCAGCCCGGGGAGGACTTCCTGTGCTTGGAGGGGAAGGAATTCAACCGGCGCATCCGCAACGAGAAGGGCGAGGTAGGCCCGGCCCGCCGCCCCCTGCGCCGACTTCCCTGGCTAGGCCTCTGGCTTGTGCTTGTGCCCGCTAGGCCCGGCTCTGCAGCTCCGTGTGCTTCCCCCAGATCGAGCAGGAGCGCCTGGACAAGGTGTGGCCCAAGCTGAGGGTCCTCGCCCGATCCTCGCCCACGGACAAGCACACTCTGGTCAAAGGTGACTAAGCTTCCTCACCTCTGCCGCTTTTTGCCAAGGTGGCAAGATGGGGCGGCCCCTACGATGTCTGCCCCACATACCTAAGGCCAAGCTCACAACAGGGCCTGTGGCCTCCGCCTAGGCCTCGAGACCCTCACGCTAGACCTTTGGCTTCCTCTGGACCTCGGGCTTCTCCCCGGGATCATGGGCATAACACACGCACACTGTCGAAAGGCCAGGCCAGACGTGTCCCGTTTCCTGGGTTTCCTGACACCAACAACGGAGGCCGCCCTGTTGACCTAACAGTGGGGAAACTGAGGCCCAGAGGAAGAGGTGCTCTGGGCAGGAGGGGGACGGGCCTCGGAGGGTGTCCAGAGCCCACGCCCCTCAGCAGCCTGCCGCGTCACTCAGAGTGACCAGGGCTCCACTCTGCGCAGGCATCATCGACAGCACCACGGGCGAGCAGCGGCAGGTGGTGGCTGTGACCGGGGACGGCACCAATGATGGGCCAGCGCTCAAGAAGGCCGACGTGGGCTTCGCCATGGTAGGGGCAGCGGGCAGGCCTGGCGTTCAGGGCAGTGCTGTGCAGTGGCGGTGGCGGCCAGCATGGAGGCCGGCCCATGTTTCTCGGCCTCTGGAGCCCGCGCCGCTCTGCAGGCCGGCACCTTACAGCATACCCTGCACGCCACTGGTTTGGTGCCAGGCTCTAGCCCTTCCCAGAACTCAGAACCTGAGGGGGACCAAGCCCGGCCCCAAGGCGTGGAGATATCTGAGCCTCCTGCACAAGCCAGCAATGCACACGCCCAGCCTGGGGGCCACACCCTTGCGCCGAGGGCTCCGGGCAGCCCAGATGAGGCCCTCCCAGCACTGGCGAGGGCATAGGGGCCCTTCGAGGCTGCCCGGCATGTAAGACAGGACAGGCAGAAGGCTGCCTGGGGCCATGTGGTAAAGGCCGCTTGTGCGTGAGCAAAGCCTTCCCCACCCTGGGAGGCCACTTGCTGTTGCGAGCTGTTTGCTGCTTGGGGCAGTTTGGAAGGGAGGGTCAGGAACTGACCCAGGTGAGCTGGGTGGTCAACAGGGACAGGACAGGAGCCTCACGGACCCTGTGTGTGTCCCCCAGGGCATCGCGGGGACAGACGTGGCCAAAGAGGCCTCGGACATCATCCTGACGGACGACAACTTCACCAGCATCGTCAAGGCGGTGATGTGGGGCCGCAATGTCTACGACAGCATCTCCAAGTTCCTGCAGTTCCAGCTGACCGTCAACGTGGTGGCCGTGATCGTGGCCTTCACGGGTGCCTGCATCACTCAGGTAGGCACTGGAGCCCAGGTCGCCCGGAACACTCCGGGCCGCCCCGCACCCGGGCGCAGCGGCCGGGGAGGCAGCGGCTTCCCAGCCCGGACCCCGCACCCGGGCGAGGCCGAGCTGGCCTTCCAGCAGCAGGCCCAGGCCCGCGGAGCCATTTGCGCCCCCGAGGGTGGTTCTACTGGGGTAAGCGCCCAGCCTCCGGTGCCTCGCTGGCGCGTGCCCAGTGGCCCGAGTCTCCCGTCCACCTGCAGCGCCGTGCGGGCCTGGCCTCTGGCCCTCCTGGAGCTCCAGGTCCATCCCTTTGGCTCCACCGGTGACCTGGGCACGGGCTGCGTGTGCGCTCCCTGCACTCACGGGAGGGTCCGAGGAGATGTTGTGCATGAGCGAGATGCAGAGGCCTTGCCCCCACTGGAGCTTCTTCCGAGGAGCAGGGCCACTGGGTCTGGCCCCTCGTTGAGGAGACCGCCCCCTGCGCAGGACTCTCCTCTCAAAGCGGTGCAGATGCTGTGGGTGAACTTGATCATGGACACCTTTGCCTCTCTGGCCCTGGCCACGGAGCCACCCACCGAGTCGCTGCTGCTCCGGAAGCCGTACGGCCGGGACAAGCCCCTGATCTCCCGGACCATGATGAAGAACATCGCGGGCCACGCTGCCTACCAGCTCACCATCATCTTCACACTGCTCTTCGTGGGTAGGCTGCCCGGGGGGTCACCTCCCCGCTGTCCGTCTGCATCTGCCCCACTGAGCACTGCGGGCCTTGAAAACATTCAGGACACGTGCTGTGTCCCCGAGACCCTTCACCAGTGACCAGTCACTCAGCCCACACGTGTCTCTGGGCGATGACCAGAGAACAGCATGGGGAGTCGTGCAAGAAGCAGGACCAGCACAGCTTGGGGAGGGCACCCAGAGGTGGCCCAGGCTCGCGAGGCAGAAGGGGCGGGAGCAGGCAAGAGGTGGTGTGGCCACGGGTGGCATGGGACCGGCGAGCCAGGGAGAGCTGGGCAAGCCCGGAAGCAGAGCCCGGCACTGCAGGCAGCTCCGGACCCCCAGACACGCCGCCCGCCCTGCTGTGCCCAGCTGCTGGCGCAAAGCCCCCTCAGCAGCCCGCTGGCAGGTTCCCCTGGGACCTGTGTGGGCGCCGCGGAACAGACCCTTTTACTTACGCGGGGCGCATTTGCCGGCTTCCCTGCTCGCCTGGGTGCTGGCCGGGGCCTGCCAGTTGCAGCGCGCTGTGCCCGTCCCTGCCAGGCATCGGCTGAAGGGTGGAGAGTGGCGGTGCCGAGCGGCAGTGTCTGGGGGGTCCTGTCATTTCTGGGGAGCAGACGCCCCACCCTGCTGCCCGCCTTGCCCCGCAGACCCATGACAGACCTGCGGCGTGGGCCCAAGAACATCGGTGATGGCTTCTTCATTCCTGCCCGCAGGGTTTGGGGTCTGGCTGCCTTGGCCTTGGCGTGAGCTTGCCTATGTCCCCCACACTCATGTCACCGCGGGATCGGGGCTGCTGGGGGACGCCAGGGCGCTGCCCCCTCACGTGGCACTCGGCTTGCAGGGGAAGTCTTCTTCGACATCGACAGCGGGCGGAACGCGCCCCTGCACTCGCCGCCCTCGGAGCACTACACCATCATCTTCAACACGTTCGTCATGATGCAGCTCTTCAACGAGATCAACGCGCGCAAGATCCACGGCGAGCGCAACGTGTTCCACGGCGTCTTCCGCAACCCCATCTTCTGCGCCATCGTGCTGGGCACCTTCGCCATCCAGGTAGGGCCGGGCCCACTCTGGCCACTCAGCGCACTCTGTCCTCTGACCCCCGTTCCAGCGCTCCACCCCTTGGCGTGAGGCAGCGTACCCGCAGAACGCCCTTTAGGGGATGCCCTCTGCGCCCGGCGTTGACAGCGTGGCACGCCTGCCACAGCTTGGCTCTGCAGAAGGGGCTGGGCGTTGGACAATAGCCAAAATGTGCGGTTCAGTGAGACCAACAGGCTGGAGAGTCTGTCCCGAGCCGCTCCGGAGGGCTGTGCTGCTGCAGCCGTCGGGAGCCAGAGGGTCGGCGCCGTGGCTGGCAGCACCCTTCCTGTGGCCCCTGTGAGGCGGGCTGGCGGGTTCCGGGTCCTGGAGTGCCCCTGGCTATGTGGGACCCGGCCCCGGTGACTAGGGCAGGGCATGGAGGTGGCGTGGGGGTGCTCTGTATTGGACAAGCGCACCCTGAAGTCAGCTTCCTCACAGGAAGGGCGACGAGGGAGCGGAGGCCCAGGCCAGGTGACTGGGGCCTGTCTTGGGGTGTCAAGCACCTCAGGCGGGCAAGCGCGGGCAGAGGTGGAGGTGCGACCACCACGGAGCCCACATGGACGGCAGCTGGGCCGCAGGGCCGGGGCCCCGGGGAGGGAGTGGATGCGCCCTGACTGTGCCTGCCGCTGGTCGCCCCCTTACGCTCCTGTGCAGATTGTCATCGTCCAGTTCGGCGGCAAGCCCTTCAGCTGCTCCCCGCTGTCCACGGAGCAGTGGCTCTGGTGCCTGTTTGTTGGTGTCGGGGAGCTGGTCTGGGGACAGGTGAGTGTCTGCCTCGGGCGTCAACCTGCCCAGACCTGCCCCTCCCCATCTGCTCTGTGACCGTGCCAATGATGGGCACGGCGCCAGCCGTCCAGGCAGCCATAGCCCCGTGCCCTGTGCCTGGCACAGCACCAGTGGCATGGCTCAGGCCGCAGCCGCCGCCCCCCCCGGGAGCCAGGCCCCAAGTGCCAGCCTCAGCGCAGAGGGTGCAGTGCCCCCACCACAGCCTTCCCGTGATAGCAGCTGGGGGCATGGAAAGTCACCCCACAGGAGAAACTGGGCAGCACCCTGCTACGTCATATAAGGACAAAGAGCAGGCCGTGAGGGGTGAGCCGATCCTGAGCCGGTGAAGTCCTGCGTCTGCAGCGGGCAGACGAGCATGCAACGGGCCGGAGGAGCAGAGCAAAATCGCATGGGAGGGGCTGGCCCCGCCATGGGGCACGACAGACTTCTGCCAGCATGTCTCCTGCGTTCTAGAACATCGGCCTAGGACCCTAACTGCTGGGTCTGCCTGGGCAGCTGAAGTGCAGATGCCTGCTCCCTTCTGGGGGCTGAGGGCTGAGCCAGGCAGCGAGGCTGGCGGGCCCTGGCGAGGGTCCGCTTCCCGGCTGGCAGGCAGCCATCGCACTGTCGCCTGTGCGCAGACGCAGACCATGCCCTTGTAGCTCACACCCCAAACTACCAGAAGGATCTGTGGCACAGCAGCCCGCTGCACATGCCAGCGCTGCCATCCCTGTCTGCATGCGGGCCACAGGCACTCTGCTCTGCACACACCTGTCCGCTCTTGCCTGCTGCCCGGGGCCCTCCTGGCCGTCCCTGCTCCTCTCGCCACCCTGCCTACCTCTGGTCTGCCATGCAGAGGCCCCCCTAGGCCGGGCCGCCAAGGCACTGTCCCACCTGGCTTGGCAGTGCCTGACCCTGCTGGCCTCAAGCCTTCTCTCCCTCCGCGAGGGGGCGCCCGAGGCCACTCTCAGACTCTCCCCTCTGCCCACTTCCTCTCCTTCCCTCCACTGTCACCCTCCCGCCTGCCCCCTCCCGTCAGGGTCCCAGGACGCTGCCTAGAGGTTCCACAGGCCCCAGAAGGCTACATCACCAACCCCGTTTGTCCGCAGATCCTCGCAGTAGTTCGGGGACCCGGCTGGGACCCGGGCGCCATTCTCTCCCAGCCCAAATGTCTTGTCATTTCAAGTCACCCAAGTCGTGCATTCCTCCTGCCACAAGGCCGCCACGTGCTCCACCCTGCCGGGCCTCCAGCCTCTGCGGCCTCAGCACCGCGCCCACACGTGTCCTTGTTGCTTCCAGCTGTCCCAGCTCTGCTGCCGCGCGGGCTGTCCCTCTGTCGTGCCCCCAGAGGAGACTGCCTCCAGTCTCAGGGTCGACCAGAGGGCCAGCACCGTTGGCACTCAGTGTGGAGGTGCCCACCAAGGGCCATGACTGCGGGACCCGGGGCCTGGGCCGCCCAGCGGTGCCCCACAGCTGAGCGCTCCCCCTCAGCTCGTCAAGTGAAGCCACAGTGGCCGCGCCCCACCCAAGCTGGACCGCTGGCTCCTGGGTTCATCCTTAGGAGACCCCTGGGCCTCAGCCAGGGACTTGGGCACGACATGGCCTTTAACGCATCCCTGTGTCGGCCCAAAGATTCCGACATGCTGAAACGCAGATAATTCTTTTAGCAATAAAGTGTCTTTTCCTGAGGTATGTACATTGTGACTTGGCTACCACACACTTCACAGACTACAGTACAGAGTAAAAACCACGTTTAAATGCCAAGAAACTCGCCTTGGGCACACCTCATGACTCCCAAAGGCGCCTGCACACAAAAAGACATAATGGAGGCAAAACTCCAGGGTCCCCAAGGACAGCCTTGCCTCTGACAGTGTCCCCAGGACACTGTCTGATTCGGCGGGTCCCTAGGAGGACCACACCCTCACTGAAAATTGTCCTGCTCGCAGCCACGGTGACTCGCAGCAAAGAGGCTGAGGCCTGGCCAGTGCAGGGAAGGAAGAGTCCCAGCAGCCGGGATGCCTAGGGGCCCCAAGGTCCTTGGGAGCTGGCCAGGGGCTGCTCTTCCTTCCCATGCACTGAAGCCAGCCCCTGGGGTCAATGTGGGAGCACCCCAGGCTCCATCCTGCATGCAAGGAAGCGCCCCCCGCCCCCAGACTGCCGAGTGCCGCCGCTCTTGGTGGCTGCCTTTCAACAGGAGAAGCAATGGCCTGCACAGAGGGCGGGCTCGGCGCGGGCAAACAGGCCCACAAGGGACCACAGAGGAAAGGGCCTCTGTCCCTGGCCTGCCCACGGCGATGAGTATAGCTGCTCCATGCCCAGTGCGTCCCTTGGAAGGCCCCACTTGCCCTGACGCGCTCTGCCTGCTGCTCCTTGCCCCAGGTCATCGCCACCATCCCCACCAGCCAGCTCAAGTGCCTGAAGGAAGCAGGGCACGGGCCAGGGAAGGATGAGATGACCGACGAAGAGCTGGCCGAGGGGGAGGAGGAGATTGACCACGCCGAGAGGGAGCTGCGCAGAGGCCAGATCCTCTGGTTCCGGGGCCTCAACCGGATCCAGACGCAGGTGAGCAGCTGGTCTGGTGCTTCAGGCTCCTGTGGGGTGGCGGCCAGAGGTAGCGCGCGACAAGCCCAACCCGGCCCGACAGGGCACCTACGCCCCCGCCAGCTGTGCCCACCAGCAGCCACACCTCAGAGCCCCCCATGCGCCTCCCGCCAGTGGGTGTGCTGCTCGGGGGTGCTTGCCCGCTGTCCGCTCCGTACCTGGGCTTGCTTCATTTGGCGGCTGCCCCAGTTCGCGGGAATGAGGCGCCTGTGGCAAACAGCTCCTCGCACTGTCTGGCCAGTTCCTTTCTGCTGCTGGAGGCCAAGGCTGTCCCTCGGCCTCACTGAGGTCGAACAGCCCCAAACCTGCCACCAGGGGCCCTTCGGAGGGTTTCACAGGAGCCCACCTGCCAGCAGGCCTGGCCTCCCCGCCACCCTCCCTGACCGACAGTCCATCCTTGCTGTCTCTCCCGAGCTTCCTCACACTCCCTGCCGTGCCGTCAGAGCCTGGACCCTGCCCCCAGGCCCCCGAGGCCCCTTGCCAAGGTCTGAGACAAGACTTGGCCACGGTCCAGCCTCCCTCCTTTTCAGCGCCCCTGAGGCACTCCCAGCTTGCTCCCCTTCTCCTTTGCCTGGCCGCTGGGCCTTCCCCTGCAAGCCTCTACTGCCCGACAGCCCAGGGGCCCAGGGCCTAATTGGGCAGGAAGAAGCAGGGAGAGCCCTGCAATAGAGCCCTGCCTGAGCCCCGCCCTCAGGCCCATGGAGTCGCCAGACCCCTCTCAACTGCAGCTCCCCTCTTTGGCTTCTCCCTTGACCTTGGACTCCTGCCCCCCAGCCCTGTGAACTTTGGCCTCTACTTGAACAACTGCCCACAGCGCGCCCTTCTCCTGGAAGCTTCCAGGTGGCGACCGGGCGGCTCTTGCTCACCAGTGGCCAGAAAACCCACTGTCCGAGCAGAACCCCCCAAGCACCCCGACTCTCTCCCCATCTCCCCACATCCCTGAGACATTAGCCTGGTCATCGGGCCAGTCTACGCCCTGCTCCAGGCCAGACCCTACAGTGACCCTCTTCGCCCCACCTGCCCGTGAGGCTCCCGCGCTGTCTCCAGCCACCTCCAGCAGCCTCTCCTCTCTCCCCCACTGCCCAGCGCTTCTCCAGCAGAGGTCAGGGCGTCTGGGGCCAGGCCCTTCTCCCCAGTCACACTAGGCAGCTCCCAGCCGTGCGCCTCAGGTGCAGGGCCTGGCCCGTCACGCCGCACAGCCCACGGCTCTGCCGGGGGCCCAATCTGGGGCGCCTGCTCCCGTCTTGCGGCCTCAGGCTCACCGTCCCGCCTGTTCCAGCAGCCTTTGCTCAGCCCCGGCCCCGGCCCCCGGCCCAAGGACGCAGCCCACGCTCCTGGCCTTGGGGCTCCCGCCGGTAGCCTCTCCCCACGTGCCCGGTGCCCCCTCCAGGCAGGCCTGTGGTCGCCCGGCTGGCCGCTGCACTGCTGATGGCCTGGGCCCCAAATCCCTGCTCTCACGAAGCCTGCGCCGAGCCACGGCCCAGAGTGCTCCACTTCCGCACCGTGACAGTGCGTGGGGCAGGGCTGGGGGAAGTGGCCCCAGAGAACGCCCTGGTGAAGGTGCTCTCAGCGTCCCGGAAGCCCCAGGCTGCGCGGCGGGAGGGTGGCTTAGGTCAGGCTCAACAGAGTCCCTGGTAGAAGAGCAGGGATGCGGGGTGCCTTTGCAGCCAGCTGCCCTGGTCTACTGTGGCGCCCCCGAGGCCCCCATCCACCCTGTCCTGGCCCAGATGGCTCTTGTCTGTCCGGTCTGGTTGTGCTGCACGGCCAGGGCTGGCTGGAGGCTGGGGAGCCTAGGTGGCAGGTGACCAGTGTGACCCCTGGCTGCTCACCGGCCTCCGCTGCACAGCCTGAGGCAGAAGCAGCTTTTCGGGCGCCGAGGTGGCAGTCCTGCCCGGACCCAGGGCGTGGCCTTGGCTAGGGTCGGTGTGCCCTGTGTGTCGGGCGAGCAGAGAGCAGGTCCTCGCAGTAGGCCTCTTGGTTCTGGGCTGTTCTCGTTGGCAGCGCCACGTCCACACAGCTCTAGGGCCCGAGGAAGCGCAGTCTGGACACTCCGAGTCACTGGGGTCCTGGCATTCACCTTTCAAGAGCGTCTGTCCATTTCCATTCAAAATATTCCCTTGGAAAGCAGAAGGAAGCCTGGGAGGCTCGTACACACCCCACGCCAAGAAAATCATCCTCGAAGTGGCGTCCTCCATTTTGAAAGCACAAAATGGCCCCCCAGATTTCAGAGGCCAGCGCCACTCTGCCTGTCGCTGAGCAAAGGGGTTTCATGAGCAGCTGGCCGCGCTCGCCGTCACCACGTGGCCGCGGCAGCCCAGAATGAAAGAGGCACGTGAGGTTTCGGCAACACGCACGCCGGGCTTCGCATGCCAAGGCCCGGAGTGGGGGCCCTGGGGGCGGGGAAGAGGACAGGTTCCTGCGGCCGCCATCCGTCGGGACACCCGTGAGCGGCATCTTGTCCCTCTGCCAGGGACAGGGTTTAGAGAGGCGTCCGTTCCTTTCTGGGGAGAGGCTTCCCAGGAGACGGCGACATTAGGATCCTCTCCCTTCATGGTGGCTGCTACCAGGCGCCCGGCGCCATGCCACCCTCGTGGGCTCCCCCTCACCAGCAGGTTGCGCTGGGCAGGAAGAGGCCTTCATCTGCAGACACGCACGTTGCCTTCCTCCAAGAAGCCTGCCCCTGTCAGACACCCAGGTGCCCTGCCAGGCGTGGGCCTCGCATACACAGCCAGCACACTGTGGCCAGCCGTGCCACTCGATCACCTGGGGAACTGTGTGCGCTCCACCTTCGAAGGCCTCAGGTCCCCCCCCCGCCGGCCTCTGAAGGCTCCCCGAGGGGGCAGCCCAGCAGCCCAGGGCTCCAGGCCACTCAGCACAGTCCTTGGGGCCTCCCAGGGTGTGGGGGGAGGAAGTGCAGGTCAGGGGCAGGGGACGCGTCGTTCACCCTTGCGCTGGTCGTCCCCGGGACCTGCTCCCTGTGGCTGCCCCTCAGAGCAGCATCAGGGAAGGCACCAGCGCAGCCCCACTTTCTAATGGGAGCGTGTCGTATCCCTCAGGTGTGTTGGGGCAGGAAAAAGGTTCAGAGCTACTGACCAGCCACAGGTATTTACCGACGAGCGCTGCGGTGAGCGTATCGTGAATGCCAGTGACGGTTTCTAAACGGTTTGCCGTGTGCCCGTTGTTAACCCGCCCTCCCGGGCTCTGAGCACTCACCAGCTGCTCAGCAGCCCTCCAGGTGCAGGGCCCAGAGGCCACCTAGGCCCAGGCAGCGCCCGGCCGCTCCCACGGGTGCGGGGCCCACCCCGAGGAGGCCCCGCAGCGCACCGGCCCGCGCGCCCCCGCCCTGTCCCACCCGCCCGGTGCCGGAGGGGACAGCAGCCAACCTTTATCTCGTTTTCTCTCCCACAGATGGAGGTAGTGAGTACCTTCAAGAGAAGCGGTTCATTTCAGGGTGCTGTGCGCCGGCGGTCTTCGGTCCTCAGCCAGCTCCATGACGTAACCAATCTTTCTACCCCTACTCACGTAATTCTCTCTGCTGCCAATCCCACCAGTGCCGCTGGGAGTGAGTCTTGAGTTCCCTTTTCTCTCGTAAATGGCATCTCTGGGGGAGAAAAGGCCTCCCCAGTCTTCCTTCTTTCTTCCAGTCTCGTACTCTCGGCTCCCGGTGGCTTCTCCGTTCTCGCTGTCGCCCTGCCCGGTCCTTCCCGCCAGACGGTGTCTCCAAAGCCGCCTTCTCTTATGAAATGTATTCAACCCAGGCTGGGCCTTCCGTTCTTTTCTTTGTTTGCTTTCGGTCTTCAGTTGGTTCTCCCCGTCACTGGCTTTCTTTTCTCGAACTTGTGTACACTGGCCGAGGGTCCTCCTGACTCAGGCAGCTTCTGCCGGCGGGGGCCGAGGAGGAGGCTCGGGGAGGCCTCTGGGCCCAGAGGGCGCAGGTGGAAGGGCGCAGCCTACCTACCCGGGACTGAGCGAGCGACTTCCACGACTCTCCTCCAGGTGCATTGCAAAGACAGTAACCTGCCACCACCCGTCCCATGGGCCCTGGCCACGTTTCCACCTGTTCCCGAAGCTCCTGCACTCTCTCCGAACAGGCCTCATGATGGGAAAGTGTCAACCCAACCTGGTCCTCGCTCTGTGTCCTCCGAGAAGCCGGCGCACTCACCTCCCTGTGTGCGCTTCAGTGACAAGCTCCGCCCATGTGGCCAGCTGTGGAGAACCAGGGGCTGTCCCAAAGAGGCAGGCCTCTCCCGAACTGCTCTGGCCACTTCGCAAGCACAGAGAGGCCAGTGGACCACTCAGTGGGCCGTCACGGCGCCCCCAGCGACGGGAAACGGGCAGGAGGAGGTTCCCCTCCAGCCGACAGTGACCCCTCAGGGCGGAGCCCAGAGCCCCCCCCCCTTTCCTTCCAGTGCGGCACTCGCAGGCGGCAGGGTCCGTACCTGCGCCTTGCTCCTCGCCAGACTGCCGTTTTCTTTTGCTTGATTTCTTCTCTTTTCCCTTTCGCTTTAGTCTTGTGTTTGTTTGTTTTCTTCCTTTTTTTAGGAACTGGTGAGCGGTCCCGCTGGGGGTGGGGGAGTGCCCCTCCTTTTGCTTAAACTGTCCGGCCACTCTGCCCGTTAAGGGAGGGGTGTGAGCCAGCACTGCGCTGGGCCACCTTGGCCCCCCCAGACCACAGGCCGGGCCGCCTGCTTCCCTGCAGCCATCACCGTAGGGCTCGAGGGTTCCGCCCCGTCCCAGAGGCCTCGCAGTCTAGAACAGACAGGTGGCAGGCCAGCCCAGGCAGGCGGCAGCGCCTCTTCCCCAGGCACAAAGGGGTGGCCGGATGCGGGCCTGCCCCCAGGGCATGCTGACCTGCCCCTGCCTCCGACTTTTTCTCCACATTTCTTGCCATCTCGCTCTGCGCTTCCTTGTCTGCCTGTCTTTCCATCTCCCTGTCTGTTGGCTTGGGGGAAGGCGGCTGTCGCTGTGGCCTGTCTCCTTCCAGGACCTGCCTGGACTCCCAGTGAGGCTACTGTCCCTTGGCTCTTTCTGGATTCCTCCTGCTTCCACCGCAGGGGCAGTCTGTCCTCTCTTCCTCGGCTCCTAGCATTTGCCATCTGTCTGCCCCTTGCCCACCTCGGGGAGCCAAGCAATGCCCGGTAAGTACAGCAGGAGGCGCCTCCCTCTCACGCATGACCAGCCACTGCCAGGACCTAACTAGCGCCTGGCCACAAGGGCTCTGCTGGTCGACGAGCAGCTGGCCGGCCCGAGGAGAGCCACGCACCTTTGGAGGACAGCACTGGTGAGAAGGCCAGCACTCCTGATGCCTCGGAAGGCACCCACGCGGAGGCCCAGCGACACCCACAGCAGGAGTGGACACGGGAAGCCGTGTCTGGAGCCGCCGACTGCCAGCTGGCAGTCGCCGCATGGCACGCTGCACTGACGTCGCGCTGGCCCTTTGTGAGCTGCTAGACCCTGAGAGAGCTCCAGCCCGGCGCCTCATCGGATGCATCAGGCCAGCCTGGCTGAGTGCGGGTGACCGCAGGCTCCAGCCCTCTCCTCAGAACTCATCGGAAGGAAGGCAGGGCGAAGGCCATGATGGAGCCCTGCTGGTGAAAGGCTGCCTCACAGGACACGCCGTGGCCTCGCGAGGTTTCCTAAGGAAACCCCAAGTCACGTGGCGGGCCTGCCCTCACTGGCCCCGGCCCGGCCCTCCACCTGCAAGCTGCGGCCGCCTCCGAGCACCCAGGCCACGCCAGCTCCACTGAGTACGCCGGGCTCGCCAGACAGAAGACTGAGGGCAGGGTGCGCGTGAGGAGCAGGAGGGCCTGGGACCTTGGGTGACCTCGCTCACCAGCACCGACTGCCAGTGACGAAAGGGGCCAGGGAGTGCCCCTGGGAGAGGCAGAGGAGCCACAGACCGTTACCGCACAGCTCGTGCTGCAGCCTCCCCAGGCCCGCGGGCACCCGTGCACCCTTGCACTTCCGGGGTCAGGAGCGAGCCCCAGCCCAGTCACTCGGCCATGCCCACTATGCCGGAGCTCGCAGCCGGCACCCCACAGCACATTTCATCCTTGGCGAAAGCCTTCCCGCCACGGCCACAGCCTCGTGGCACAGGACCTCGGCTGTGGCCCTGGAAAGAGCGCTGTCTGTCAGCAGTCACTTTCAGTGTCCTGGGAACCAAACTCCCCATTGCTGTATGGGTTGCCCCCATCCCTGCGCCAGCCACACGCTGACACTGAAACTGCAGCTGTCCAGCCCGGGTGTGGATGGGCACGGGCTCCCTTCATAGGCCTTTGGCACCGCACGGCCGCCTCCGGCCAGGACAGGGTCTTGCAGACTGGTGCAGCCCCTTCTGGCCACATTCAGAGCCACCTGTCCCTCCCGTTTCAACAGCCAGCCGCACTGGGCCTACTTGCCGCCACGGGGCCTCGGTCCCGGAGGCCTGGCAGGCCCAACCTGCCTGCCGAACAGGCAGGTGAGTGCAAAGCTGGCCCCATGCGGCAGCCAGGCTTCACTTGCTCTGCCTCTGGCGACTCAAAGACTTTCTGCTCAAGCAGGCTGTCAGGGCTGGGGACTTCATGCCCTCTGGGGCAGTGACCCTCATGTTAGGCAGCCTGGGAGAGGGAGGAGCCTTGCAAAGTGCGGGCCTTCTGCTGACTGGCATTTGCTACTTGCAGGCAGTCTGCCGAGTTCAAGGCAAGCTGCCCTGCCCAGCTCTTTGACAGACTGCCCGCTAGGAAGGGTCTAGCCCTGCCGGTCAGCACAGGCCCCAACCGGGCAACACCGTCCAGTCAATTCCTAAAGCTCCAGGTAGCAGCTCGTGGCGTGGGGTGGGTGCCAGAACCCCTTCTCTGAGCCTGGCCCAGGGAGCACTCCCGCGGCCCCAGGAGCCCAGGCACTCATCCAAGACCCTGCAGCTGGGCCCGACCAGAGGAGAGGCCAGGTCTAGAGGCCGCGCTGCCTTCACCATGACTGCTTAGGCGCCAGCCACAAAGCACGGATGGAGACCATGGAGCCCAGCATGCCGCCCAGGCAAGGCTGGGGAGCAGGCGGAGTGCAGAGCCGCGTGTTCCCTGGGCGTCTGGTTCAGGGCCCTGGCGGGACAGACAGGCAGCTCCGAGAGTTTGCATTTCACACTCCCCAACTTCACGGCGAGGAAATGGAGTGGCCGGCGCTGCCCCTTCGCTGCGCCCTGGGCGGGAGCCATGCCAGCGCAGCCTCGTACTGACGCTTCCATGTTGCTTTCAAGCCATGATGGCTCACGGAGCCCCAGCTGCGGACTGCCAGTCCCCAAGGCTCTGTGGCTGCTGCATTCCGAAGCCCGTCGCCCAGGGAAGTGACAGGCCCCTTCCTTGTGAAGAAGGCTCCTGATCGGTCGGCACAAAGCCGGGCAAGCCGGGGAGGGTGCAGGGCTTCGAGGCAGCAGTGGGCGGCAGGATCCCGGGTCAAGGCGCCCGTCTCCGAGCCCCGGAAGCCGGGCTGGTGGAGACAGGAGGAGCGCAGGGGCACAGGACGCCTCAGTCACAGTCCTTTCTGCCTATGGGGGGACAAAAGGCCAGAGGCGCTGGGTGCATGGCCGTCGCTCTGTGGCGGCCGTCCCGGAGCCTCCGCTTCCACTCGCTCTCCTCTTCTCCTCTCTTCACCCCCGGGGCATAGCTTTTACTGGGGCTCCCTTGGCCCTCTGCTCGCCTCCGCTCTCATGCCCTTCCAGCGCCCACCTGCACCGCAAACTTGACTGACTGAAGGTCAAGTGAAAGCAGGGCACATCCACGTTTGGCCTGACATTCGCCCCTCTGCTGACACCCCAGTGATCCATCAGCAGCATGTCATCTGCAGACACAATAGCCTTTCCACTTCGGTTCGGGGTGACAGCTGGCCCCATGAGCCTGACCGCAGGGTCCAGCTGAAGTTAGACCAGGCCTGACAGCGGGGTGGGGCCACGCAGCAAACCAGCAGCAGGAGGCCGGCTGACCACGAGTGCAGGGGTCGCAGGCCTCTGAGGAGGCGGCAGGGCTGTGCAGACTCCTGGGCACTCCTCCCCTCCAAGCTGCTCTCTGAGGGTCCGTGAGCTGCCTCCCCCAGGGCGGGCAGCGGGCGGCAGTGCCTGGCCTCGGAAGGGCAGGGGCCCCGGGGCGAAGAGGGTGGAGCCGTAGCCAGGCTCTGTGTCCCGAGCTGGATCTGAAGACTCTGGTGACCCTCGGGGGGCCTTAGTTCCGCGCAAAAGGAACAGACATGCGGGTGTGGGGTGCTTGGAGGCAAGCCTTGCGGGGTGGTGCAGAGCGCTGTGTGTCGGTTGCCTGAGGAGGTGAGGGAGAGCCCTCCTCAGACAGAACAGCCAGTGCAGACACCTGAGGCAGGGGGCTCAGCACTTGAGTGTTTGGGGAAGAAGCAGGACACCACTGCCACCAGCGAGCCAGGCTCCATGGGGGGCACTGATGCGCCCCAGCTTTCAGCTGGAAGGGCGAAGTGGGCTGAAAGATGTAGAGGTCAGGGGCAGCAGACTGGGGGGTCTCCATCGACCTGTCCTTTGAGGACAGCCGGGACTGGCTGGGCGCCGGGAGCAGTGAAGGGGCCCGAGGCCAGCTAAGTTGGACACAGATCATACAGCAAAGTGGGGGTGTGCAATCGGCGCAGGGAGCCCCAAGTCTGGCGATGGAGACACGGAGCTTGCTAGCCGGCAGGTGGGGTTTTTCCGGCACAGGCAGCATGCGGGTAGACACAGAGGAGGGACAAGTCCCAGGAGCGCAGCCAGGAAGTGGGTGAGTGCTGGTGCAGATGGCACCAGGCCCCGCCTGGCTGGGCACATGTGGAGGCTAAGGAGGTGCCCCGGAACCCGGGCAGGAGACAAGTGCGGCTGCAGCTGGCAAGGGCTGCAGGGCCAGATAAGCGGCCAGAGGACACTGCGAGGGCAGGTCTGGCCCCACCCTCCTGGGGCTCCCCAGAGTCCTCAGGCTCCCCCACTGGATTACTTTTTGTTATTCTGAAGTAGACTCAGGGCTCACCATTTGCTCAGATTGGCGTAAGCACCCGCAGTTGGGCCCCAGACCTGCTCTACCACGTGCTAGAATGTTCGCAGGCCCCACCTGCAAAGTGGGGGGATCAGGGCCAAATTTCGGTAGCCAGAAAAAGAGCTAGGAGGGTGCAGGGCCCCAGGACACAGGAAGAGGCTGGACAAATGAGGCACCATCTGTCCTGGCCACCCAAAGAAGGGAATGAGGTGGTTGTCATTAAAAACATCAAATAATCCTCAGATCTGCGTTACCCCTGTTTCAGAGGCTAATCTGAGCGAATTTGGTGGGAACAGTTGGCCATCGACAATCTAGAACGTGCGGCTTTGCCAAGTTCAGAGAGGAGCCTCACCGCACTTCACAGGTGCAGTTAGAAAACGCCGCCTCCAGCCGGCTCTTTGGCCTGTTTGCTGTCGAGGCCGTGAGGCTCGCTGGTACTTGCGGCGCCAGTCACGCGGCCCAGTCGGAAGGGAGTTAGTGTCAGTGGGAACAGCTGTATTTGTGGCCCAGACTAGGGGTGGCGAAGTTCTAGTGAGCCAGGCAGTGAGGCTACGTTTAGCTTTTCAGGCCAGGACCCCATAACAACTGTGCAACTCTGCCCCCGGAAGGGAAGAGAACCATGGAGAAGGCACGAATGAATGGGCGTGACTGTGTGCCAATAAAACTTGATTAAAAACCACACAAAGAGCCAGAGTTAGCCTGGGGCCACAGTTTGCCAGCATCTTGACTAAAGCAAGAATATCCAGCCCTAGAGCCACAGGTCTGGACGTGACTAGAAGATGCCCACCTGGCACAGGGGGTGGTAAGTAGGGATGGAGCAGTCTCTCCACTTCCCCCTGCAGGGAGGAAGCTGAACTGCTTCCCTCTTAAGGCCAGCAGGCTGGTGTGGAGCCTAGCAAAGGCCCGTCCATCCGCTTTGGCTTCTAGAAGCAGGATGGAGCATTGGCTGGGGCAGGGAGGGAGCAAGGAGTGGCCGCGACTGGCGGCTAGTGGGTCAAATGACGAGAACACCGTGTGAGGATGAAGGAGGAAGCAGAGGATCCAAGGCCACCTGAGCTCAGCTCTTGCCTGAAGGGGGTGGGCTGGTGTCAGGGGCTGGAGTTGGAGTGAGGTGAGGACCACCAGGGCACAGGCGTCAAAGAGCCCGAGTAGAAGGAGACTGTGGCAGATGCCGGGGCTGCTCAAAGTTGCACTTCTTGTGGGAAATGAGGCCAGAGACTGGAGACAAGGAGAGGGGAAGAGGCTGGAGAGGAGAGGTGAGGAGGGAGAGAAAGCCTTCAGGTGTGGGTAGCAGCGAGAGGGCTGCTGCTGGCGGGTGACACGGGGCCAGGAGGTCACAGTCCAGTCAGACACAGCCAGCTGAGCAGTGGGGGCCTGTCCCCACACGTGAGACACCGCCGCAGCGGCCAGGACACCTGAGCCAGAGAAGCTTGGCGGGGGTGGGCTGTTTCCAGTCTTCGAGGCCTAAGGCTCTGAGGAGGGGCCTGGGCGGGCCACACTCTGTGATTGTAGCCAGATGAACTGCTGGGCCGGGCCTTGGGTATAGCTAGGCAGGGAGGTAGCTCGGGGATACCCTGGGACTGAACAAGGAGCAGTGGAGGCCATGAGGCCAGAGCAGCCAATGACACAGGTAGCAGGCCAGGGGCAATGTCAGGGTAGACAGAAGTTTCCAGAAAGAAGGTCGTCAGCTGTGTTGAGTGCCTCTGAAGCCTCAGATAAGAGGAACACACAGAAGTGGTGTGTGGGCCTAGCAGCAGGGGGTTGCAGAGGCCATGAAGCCTGAGGGGACAGAGCAGTGTGTTTCCAGAGGAAAGACAGTATTTCAGCTTACGTGGTAGGAGACAGTGGCGAGCCGCTCTCCGGCAGTCATGCTGCAGTTGTAGCAGCAGCGAAAGAAGACTTGGCAGAGCACCCGGGGCCCTGAACCTGTGCTGCCAGGCAGGGCGCAGCCGGGCGTGGCTGCAGGGAGCCACTGGCCCCGCGCCTCAGGTGAGGAGACTGAGGCCCAGACCGAAAGAAAGGCCCGATCCCGAAGGCCCTCACCACAGTGCAGGGTGGAACATTCCAGCACTGGCCAGACATTAACTGCCTCTCTCCTTCCCCGCTCCCTCCCGATCCCGCACCCCACTTCTGCTCCAGATCCGAGTGGTGAAAGCATTCCGTAGCTCCCTCTATGGAGGCCTGGAGAAACCCGATGCCAAGGCCTCTGTGCATCTCTTCATGGCGACACCCGAGTTCCTCATCAACGACTACACCCACAACATCCCGCTCATCGATGACACTGACGTGGATGAGAACGAGGAGCGTCTGCGGGCCCCCCCGCCCCCGTCCCCCAACCAGAACAACAACGCCATAGACAGCGGCATCTACCTGACCACGCACGGCGCCCAGTCAGCTACCTCGTCAGCGTTTTCTTCCAGGCCCGGGAGCCCGCTGCACAGCGTGGAGACGTCCCTGTGAGCCGCCCCGCTCTTGACGCTCGCAATGCACGCCGGGCCAGCAGCTGCAGACTTTGCTTGGCAGGCGCTGACAAGAAGCCCCGGCATCGAGCCCCGGCGGCTTCTTACCAGGGCGAGGAGGAGGAGGAATCAAGCGAGAGGCGCTGTTTCCCCCCTTTTCTATCAAAGCTTTTTTAAAACAAAGTTTGAGTCCACGGAAAGCCGCATGAGGGCAGCGCGCCGGGGCAGCAGCTGCTGGGGGCTCGGGGAGAGCTTCGTGGGCCTCGCTGAGGAGCAACCGGCTCCGCCGAGTCCTGCAGGCCACGAAGGATGACCCCCCCAGAGAGCCCCCGCGAGCCGCCTGCGTACGCACGCACGCACGCACGCACGCACGCACACAGAGGGCCAGGAGTGTTTCAAGAATAAGGAACTCTTTATCACACTTGCATCCCTCTTACCGGGGTTTTCATTACAGTGTATACTCTTTGGTTACTATATTTTAGTCCCTAATCTCTGCTTGGGGAAGCACCCCCAACGCCCCCCACCCATGCTTCCCAGGTCCTGGGGATGTTGTCTATATGTCCTGAGCAGGCCTGGGGGGGTTAGAGCCCCCAGCGGTTACAATCTGAACATTTGTACCTTGAGACCCCTAACTATGGGGGAGGGGCTTTCTGTGGAATTTTCCATTTGAAAAAGAAAATACCAAAGCATTGATAAGAATGACCCTGCCAGCAGGGCGAGGGGCGTTTTCAGTTTCCTTTGGTTTCAATTGCCATTCCTGGATTCTGCCTGGGAGGGCCTGGACCCCGGGGCCAGCCCAGGTGAGTCCAGGCAGACTGGCGTCACCGAGGCCACAGCTGACCGCACAGTGCAGACCCCGGGGCACCTCCCACCGCACCCCCTTGCTTTGGCAGATGGCAAGCAGCTGTGGCTGAGGCACCCCCAAGTGCCCTTTCAGCCCTGTGCGCTGCTTCAAGGACAAGCACCCACCCCCAAAGCACCTGCTGCAGCATCAGGGCAGCCGCCCGTCCTTCAGCCACCCCTCTGAGGTCCACACACCCGGCACGCCAAGCCTTGGTTTCCCCTGAGAGCACTGACTAGGAGACGGAGGGCCCCAACTTCGGCTGCCACCAAGGACGCCGAGAAAGGCGAGCCTCTTCTGACCAGAGGCAATAGCAGACCCCGCAGGGACACTGACCAAGGGGCGGCTCTTGGCCCAGGACATTCTTTCACCTTCCAAAGTCACCAGTGTCATGTTTGCCGGGAGGCGGTCGGGATGCCACCCTGGCGCACACAGGTCCCGTGGGCCTGGGCTGCGGGTACCCGGCCGGGCGCCAGGGGCAGAGGCCAGGATGGAAGCCTCGGTGTCTCCCTGCAGCTGGGCCTGAAGGCAGCCAGTGGGCTGTGTGGAGTCAAGACCAAGGCTGCCCGTCGCCAGCAGGAGCGGGGCAGCCCGAGCCGGGGAGTGTCCGGTCTATGGACTCCCGCTCTGAAACGGTGGCTGCGGGTCACTTAAAGCCATCCCTTTCTTCCAAAGGGCACACTGAGAATGTTACCTGTTTGTAAATTGTTCCCTAATGTCCTTGCAACAGAAAGGCGGGCTGAGGGCCTCTGTGTTCCTAAACAGAAATAAAACCGGAAATGTTGAAACTGCAGATGAGCCGCGTCTTGCTGCCCCGACCCTGCTGCTCGCCCCAGGCTGCCTTTCTGCAGGGCTGTGGGGTCAGACAAGGGCGCTGTGAGTGCAGGCAAGGGCCGGCACGTCGGGGGCTCTCGCTAGCGGCGCTGGAATGACTTGGCCGTTAGCTGCGCTTTACAGGATCCGCCTGTTAAAAGATGAAAGAATCTTATGGACTGCATAAGTCAGAGTAGACCGAGATTTCTCTGTAGACAACGAAAAGCCCCTGCAGTCCGCCACAGCCGGTGTGTGCTTATGGTCGCTGCACTCTGACCAGAACAGAGGGCTGCCCTGCCCCGCTTCCTGGGGGCCCGGAGCAGCGGGGTCAGCCCTGGGGAAGGGGGCCGGGTTCTGGCCTACGGGGTCAGATGCCCTGGCGGGACACGGCCAGACGCGCTCACGGCAGTGCGGGCCGCCGGAACAGCGGCCTCTTTCTTCTGTACTAAAACACAGCACAGAAGTTGGCATCACCACTGCTTCTTCCACTGTGACAAGGACGCCTCTCCCGCGTTGGCGACCCCTCCCAGAGCAGCCAGCGCCTCCGCAGCCCGGCCCGGGGAAAGTTCTAGAGGCCGGGACTATGCTAGTGGGAGCCCTGCCTCACTCACCAGGTGCCTCTCGGAGCTCTCCCAGCAGGAGATGGCCGCAGAGGCGCCTCCGTGCGGGAAGGACCCAGCGCTCACCTAGACCGCCCGTGTCAACAACCGCGTCGCCCCCGGCCACTCTGAAATGTGGCTTGGTGATGTCCACAGTCAAACAGATGTCAAGGATCGGCAAGGGTTTAGAGCCAGGCGGCCAGCGCCCAGCCTGCCCGAAGAGGGCGTCTGGTGCCCAGTACCCGTCCTTTCTGAAGCGCGCCGCTGTGTCAGCCCAGACACGCCTTTCCTCCTGGGTGCCCTCACTGCGCGACCGTGGCTCTTTCTTGGTGGCTCTCTGCTCTAGGCCTCCCCAGGCGGAGGGCGGGACATGGAGTCCACTGGCCTTACGCTGTGCCCCCGGCTGAGGGTGGCACTCAGCAACACAGAGCTGAACGCGTGCTGGAGCGTGGGTGGCCTCAAAGTGCGCAGGTGCCGCAGGGGTGCCCCAACATGGTGGTGGGGGGTGTTGCACATCCTGCAGACAGACAAGCTCCGGGAAATAAAGGCTGGTCAGGGAGCCCGAGAAGCGTCTCAGTGGTCTCATCCCGGCAACTGAAGCAGGCCCACTGCCTACCTTGTCATCAGGGTGTGACCCCTTCCTATGCACCCCATCAGGGTAAGCACCCTCACAGCCTACGGGCCTTCCAGCCCCCACCCTCACACAGGTGCCAGAGGGCCTCGCAGCCAGTGTCCAGAGCCTGGATCCCCTGGCATGGGCTTCCCACATGCCAGGGAGCACCCAGGACAGTCCCCAGCCCCACGCCCCCTCTCCCAAAGGATGGACTCATCGGCCCCACGCGTGCACCCCAGGAGCACCCCGACGGGTCTGTTCCCCAACCACAAGCCTGCCTTGTGAAGAAGTTCACTGTGGTGGAAGTTGGGATGCTGGGCCCCCGAGATTCTCTGCACCCCGCTTCCAGGCTCACTGCTCCCACCTTCAGAAGACCTTACAACTTCTTAGTGCGTTCTAGTAGGTCGTGGTCAGGTCTGAGTTTCTGGACCCAAATGATGCTCCCTAACCCCCTTTGCAAAGGCTGTGCCAGGGCAGGACACGCTGCTGCCCGCTCAGAAGCCAGCGCAGGATCACAGCCCAAGCATGTGAGGGGACCGCGTCTTTCAGGGGCATCCCGAGGTGCAGCACAAGCTCCAGAGCAAAGACAGAGTCTACTGATTTGCTTGAACCACCTTTCATTACACAAAATAGAACGTGTCTATGCCACACACATCTTGCTGCTGTGAGCCTCCCGATGCCCCGGATGCCTTTTCCTCCTCACGACGCCCTGGCTCACTGCAGGCGGAGGTGGCAAAGGACAGGAGCAGACTCGGTCATCGGACCCCCAGAGCACAGAGCCTTGCTCCCGGCCGCCCTGGGGGCCAGGCTTCCAGCTTCTCGTGGGCAGGCCAGGGCCAGGCCTCAGGGGAGCTCCATGTCCATGGTGTAAATCCGAACGAGATCAGACACAATGTCGTCAACGACTGGCTTCGTCAGGTCCTCGCTGAACACCTGGAGAGAAGGAAAGCAGGCTCCAGCGACCCCTCCGGCTCCACCGTCCAGCCAGGGTCACCGGGCTGGGGCATGGCCAGCAGAGCGTGGAGACTGTCCTGCCGGGCTGCCCAGGCTGCCCAGAGCAGGCACAGCAGAGAGCGATCCCCACGGAAGAGGTCTCGGTGACCATTTGATCCAGACGGGAATGGGCGAGGCGGGGGACTTGGGACAGCGGGGTGTGGAGCTCCGCCCCTCCCTCCCCGGATGGTCTGCTCCAGACTCCCAGGAGACCTCGGGAAAGCAGAGGGCAGGGTCCCATTTGCAGGGCGAGACCGCTTCCTGTGCACCCCACAGCGGTAAGCACCCCCACAGACTACGGGCCTGGTCACCTACATGCTACACCCACCCGAGCTCAGCACCTGCTCCCCAGACGCACCCCTGGCTGCTGGACAGTTCACGCCCTCTTCTGGGGCACCCACAGGAGGCCGCCCAAGCCAACGGGCAGGCAGAGTCTGGCCCAGCGGGCCCGACGCACCTCGAGGCCCTGGAACGTAGCACCCACGAAGGGGTCTGGGCTGGTCTGGGTCCTCGGGCCCTGTGGGCAGCAATGCCGACAACGTGCTTGCTGGGGCCCTTGGGCTGCCCTGGCTTTCCAGGAGGCCTGGCCCACTGCACAGGACGCGGCAGGCCGCAGGACCCACTCCCGGCACCCAGGCCGCCACCCTGAGCGTCCTGTGGCCTGCCAACTTGAGTTGCCCCGGCGTGGGGGCGCCAGGACCGATGGGCTAGCTCCTAGAGTCGACGGCCCTGCTGAGCTGCCTCTGACCTGTGTGCTCCAGTCCTGACTCACCGTGTCGACAAGCCTTGGGGTGCTCTTGGGGGCCCCTAAGTATGAGAAAACTACACAAGCAAGCCAGGAGCCCTGTGTGAACGGTGGGCCCCCACCTCCAGGCCAGGGCTTGCTGCCCGGGGGACTAAGGTGTGACAGGGCCTTGGGCGAGTGCAGGCCACAAGTGGAACTGACCACCCCACTGAGGGCACCCCATGGGAGCCGGACTCCGCTGCTGGCCGCCACCTCCCATGGCACACGTGACCTGGATATCCCTGTTGCCAGCTCAGGAAGACAGGCAGGCTAGCCCAGGCCCGGGAGATGGAGAAATCTTTCAAAACTACGAGGCTGGCTCAGCTGGGTGTCCCAAGACACCGAGCTGAGAGATGACCACTAAGAAGTAGCCCAGGACCAAAAGGTACAAGCGAGCCAACTGTGCACCCATGAGGGAGCGAAGAGATGCAGGGTTCTGCAGCACTCCGTGGGTGGGGAGCCCTGGGGAGAGGAGGCTTCCGACACCCAACGCCTGGGAGCCCCGAGGACACGGGCCGCGGGACCCAGCCAGTGGCCACAGGCACATCCAGCATGAGACTTGGCTGCGGGGGCTGGCAAGCGAGGGCAGGGGCGCTCTGCACATGGCTGGGGGCCTCCTCTTGGGACACGGGCTTGCACTCGGCTTCGCGGCCCAAGGGGATGGGGACCCGTCTGTCCAGTGTCCGCCCCCGTGCCGCACATTGCCCACCTACCCGCCAGCCCCTGCCATGTGCCCGCCGCCTGCCCTCCACCCGCGTGCCTAGTGGTCACCTGCCCGGCGCCTGCGACCCAGGGCCATACCCTCCAGCCTGTCAGCTGCTCCACCCACGGGATGACCGCTGCCCTGGGCTCCGCTCTCACGTGGGGTGCCCCGGGACATCCGCACGAGTGCTGGCACTTCTGGGGGGTGGCTGTGGGGGAGTGCTCCTAGCATCACCAGGGGCGTGCAAGCCCACGGCCGAGCCTGGCACCAGGACAGCCCGCTGCAGAGACTGGGCCCGAGCGCACAGGCTGGACGCAGCCCCGCCTCGCTAGCAGGGCCTCACCTGCCACCACGGCTTCTCGGCCTCGGCCTCGGCGGGCACCTCGACGCCGTAGACCTGCAGCGCCAGGTGCAGCACAGCCACGGCGATGTGCGGCGCGCGGAAGCGCAGGCACAGCGCCCCGTGGTAGCTGTCCCGCAGCAGGGCCCAGGCGGTGACGGAGATGGGCGTCCGCTGCCAGCTGTGCCGATTCAGCCAGTTCTTGAGGGCGACCAGGTAGTGGAGCAGGTGCTGCAAAGGCAAGCCGGTGAGCCCCGGCCTCGGGCGCGTCTCCTCCCGCGAGGTGCTGGGGCTCAGCCACGCTGTCGTGACGTCGACACAGCACAGGCTGGATGGCGCCTCCCGCCCGTGCTCCCCCTCACGGCCGCTGGGCCGCCCTACCGAGGAGAAGTCCCAGCAGGCCCCACTGGCCACACGGCCCAGAGGCGGCCGTGGATCTGCGGGGCTTCAGGAGCCAAGCCAGGCCACAGGAGTGCGCGCAGCGCGTGAGCACATCCCCGGGGGCCTGCAGGCCGACGCGGAGGCCGTGCGTCTTCGCGTGCCCCAAGCGCTGGCAAGGGCTCTGCCAGGGAGCGGAGGTGCGGCAGAGCTGCGCGCGCTGCACACGTACCTTGTGTGGGTGCTGGAAGGAGACCTGGAAGCGCAGTGCCCTGAGCACGAGCAGCTCGCACTGCACGATGCTGTCCCGCAGCTCCCAGAAGCGCGCATCCAGCTCCAGGGGCTCGCTGCCCGGGTGGAAGTACCTGTGAGCGCAGACGGCGCCGCTGACGCAAGGGCGGCGCAGGCCATGCGCCCTTGGGGCCTGAGCCCCAAACACGAACGCCTGAGCCCCCCACCAGCGCCTGTGCCAGGGGCCAGAGGGGCCCCCGTGGGCCTTAGCATCTGTCTCTGACAGGATGGGGCCTGGGCATCGAGGGCCGGCAGAAGGCAGGAGGCACCCGAGCAGGCTTCGGGTTTCATCCTGATGCACTGGCCGTGTCACTCGCAAGACGCAAGACGCCAAATGCAAAGTGGGCTGTGGCCACCAGAGGAGCTGGAGGCCCTACAGTGCCAGCAGAGGGGAGGGGAGGGGCCTCCTGACACAAGCAGCCTGGCACTGGGAGCCGTCTCCCTCCCCTGGGATGACCAAGCCCAGGACCCCCCACTCTGGGCCAGTGACCAGTGTTCAATACCCTGGATGGAGGAGAATCAATGTATTGAGCTTTATGCTCCCCGATCGTCTTTCCTTCATTTCAGATCTTTCTGTGCTTATTACACCGTGCATGTCTACCACTCCTCTGCAAGATCACGAGTGATGGAAATTCTCTGCCATGACTCACCCTCGCCAGCTCTTCGCTCAGTCTCCAGCTCCCCACCAAACCTCGCCGCGGCCCCTCTGACGAGCAATTTCCCTTCCACTGGGCCTCCCTGCTGGGCCTCGCAGTGCGGGCGACTCCAGCCCCTCCTGCGGCCCACTCCTGGTTTGGGCTGTGCCTCTAGCAGTGCCCTGAACCTGGCACGTTCAGGGGTGCCGAGTGCTTTTCCTGTTAGCTGTTTAGTAAAGGAGAAAAGCGCACGATACTCTGCTTTCCTAATGATTCGAGTCCCTGGAAGGCTGAGACACATCACTCCTTAGTAACTTTGCACCGGTCGCTTTCTCCTGGCTTCCGGGGGCCCTGGCAGGGCGAGACGTGCCTCAGCAGCTCTGACGTGGCTCCGCGGCCTCTAGGGGAGACTGCCCGGCTGGCTCCCTGCCCACCCCAGGCGCAGGCTGGCCTGGGGGCCACGGAGCCCAGCGGGAGGAGGTGCCCTCAGGCTTTTCTGTCTCCGTGTCCCCGGCTGATGCATCCTGTCTAAGATTCCAGGCAAATCCGCTTCACCACATCTTTCCCCACGCTCCCTGGGCTCCCTCGGGCATCCTCACTGCGCGCCCGCTGGCCTCTGAGGCGTCCACTCGCCTGCCCGGGCTGCACGACCCGTCGTCCTGGCTTGGCCGCCGCAGCCCTCCTGCCTGTGCTGCCTGCGCGTCTGGCTCCAGCTCGCGGCCCGCACAGAAGCCCCCTTTTCAGCTCGACGGCCAGAGGCAGGGCCCATGGGAGCCTCCTTTGTCCTCCCACTCGGGTGGCCACCAGGAAGCCCACAGGCTAGGCCCCGCGGGCTGTTACCTGTTGCACACGTTAATGATGTCACGCGTGCGCAGGTGCTGCTCTTCCACTTTGCCGGCCAGGTACAGGGAAGACATGGCCACCAGGTAGGGGTCGTAGGCACCCAGGTGGGTCTCGTGGAAGAACTTATGGTAAATGGTGCAGGCAGTGGCGATGGGGATGGAGTGCATCCCCAGCTTCACACCTGTGGAGAGAAAGCAGGTGAGGGCCCATCAATGCCGCGCCTTCCCGGCCCACTGCGGGGCTGGGCCTGCTCCGGCAAGGTGCAGTGGCCTGGACCTCTGGCAGCAGCTGCCCTCCACCTGTGGGTGTGCTGCTCGGAGTCCTGGGCTCAATAAGCCTGGGGGCCCGGTGCAAATGCTGGAACACAGCGTCCATTCACCGGCTCTGCAGTATATAGTGTCCACCCAGCCCGCAGGCCATGCCTCAGCGACTGCTCTGCAGCCCACACAGAAGCAGGGTTGACACACCTGCCAATGAGCACCGGTCTCGGTGATGGCGCACTGTGTGTCCTGTGCTGCTTCAGCGAACACTTAACTTGAGGTGGCCCTAGAATGCAGCTCACCTACCGAAGTCCTGGCTGACTGCCAGGGTTGCTGGGGGCAGAGCGGGGGAAGCGACAGGCACTCCACAGAAGGCACTAGAGAACAGGGCATGGATGGAGGTCAGAATGCAACACGCAGGCACAGGCTGATTTAGGGGGTCAACGCCCATGGCCAACCTCCCCCTCTGTCCCCAGCTCCTAAGGGAAGCATTGCCTTGGGCCACAGAAGCAAAACAAGCCCACAGTGACAGGGTGAGCGAGAGAAGGCTGAGTGACATCGAACACACTGAGAAGAGAAGGTAGAGATGGGCCAGAACTCAGTAGTCACGATGATGTTAGGCATGTGAGATCCCTCCGGCTGCTGAGACAAAACAGTACAAGGTGGCTGAAAACAACACACTCGCTTTCCCTTACAATCCCGGTGGTCAGAAGTCAGAAATGAGGCTTTGGCGCTAAGCTCTGGGTTCCTCTGGAGACTCCAAGGAAAGTTTGCTTCCTGGCCCTTTCTGGCTTCGAGGGGCACCCACAGGCTCTGGCTTGTGGCCCCTTCCCAGCCAGCAGCACAGCATCTTCTAACTGCTCCCTCTGCTTTTCAAGGCCCTCATGTGGCCTTCTCTGCCTGCCTCTCTTCCTGCCTCTCCCTTTAAGGATGGGGTGAGTAGTGAGACCCACTGCATAATCTGGGGTAGATCCCCCAGGCTAACATGCTGAATTCTACCTGCAAAACCCGCATTGCACCATGAGGCCACAGTCCCAGGTTCTGGGACTAGAAGGGGACACCTGTGGCAAAGCCAGCACTCAGGCTGACGCAGAGGCCCAGCGGCGGCTGAGGCATGTTCTGTAAAGTAGCTCTTCAAAGTGATACTTTGATAGCTTTTAGCCCTTCAAGTTTTAAGCTTCAATTACCTAGCCTAGCATGGGCCCTCATTCCCACAGCAGCCAGGCAGGCAATATTGCTCACAGCGCCCGGCCCACTTTCACACGAAGGGCAGCTGGCTGCCCTGGGCTGAGTGGACCCCTCGCCAGTTGGATGGGTGGCAGGAGCTGGGTGGACGCTCCCACCTGGCTTGCACACACCGCAGCTCCTCTTGGAAATGAACCGCACAACTCAGCGGGATTAGCAGCCCTGCAGTAGGTCCCACGCCTGTGGCATGGCCTTGCCTTTGCTGTCTCTCAGCACACAGAGGAGCAAGGCTGGGGAGTAACTGCTCTAGCTAGGCTGGGTCCTAGCACCTCGGACAGTATCTGTGCCGATCCTGTGGGCGCCTTGAGGAGGTCAAAATGCGCCCTGCACCCTAGGTCCTCAGTGTGAGGGGGCCTGGCCAGCCAGGGGGCTCCCGAAGGCGCTGGGAGGCCCAGTGTGGGGAAGCGCTGGAAGGCAGCTCTGGCAGCAGGGACTCCGGGCTCGTCCCCCTGCACGTCCTCTCCTCGGGTCCTTACCCGACCGTGAAATGACAAGGCCATGTCTGCCTACCCGCCCGATGCCCAGCACGGCGGGCAGAGGCCACGGACCCCAGCTGGGCCTCCCGGACCTGCCTGCGGCGCATTCAGCGCGGCCCCTTCGCTTGGCCTCGTACGCCGGGCCACGGACACCCGGAAGCCGGTTCCCTCAGCGCGGGGTCCACTGGGCGCCCACAGCTCCGCGGCCCGCCTGCCCGCTCCTGGCCGCCGTTACCTGCCTCCATGATGAACCGTGTCACTCGGAAGTGCACCCTCGCCTCAGGTATCGGCCGCCCCTCTGTGCCCCGCGCCGCGTCCCCTCCTCCGCAGCCCTCCTGGTCCACGTCCTCCATAAGATCCCGCCCCACAGCCCCGGGACCCCCCACAGGAAGGCGATGCTCCCCCCCTCCCAGCGCAGCAG